GAGAGTGTCATTTGTCTTTCATGTTTCCCACTGACTCTTTCATCCAGCTGGATATTTAAACCCTTCCATACATCACACAGGGAGTAATTAAAATGTAACACTGTAATAAACACCAGAAGAGACTGTTGTCGTGTAAATGACAGACCAGCTGTAAACAGAAAAGAAAATAACTACCACAAAGTAACAGTCAGCAGCACCAAAGCTAGAGAAACACAGTAAATGAATATTTAAAAAAATATATACTATATATAATATACGGTACTAGAACAAAGTAGGAGGAATAAATCAAGGCTAAAGCAGAGTTTTAGTGAGATACATATATTTAAACGGCCACTTTGGTTCCATCCCAGAATAAATTAATATATAGAGAGACTACAAAGAGGAATAATAGAAAGTTAAATGGAAATAAATTCATGTGGTTGTTGCGGTGATAACTGACCAGCTGAAAGTGTGTGACGCCCACTGAACACTTGTCGTTCATCTCCTTCTGGTGTTTGTTCTGTACCAGACAGTCCAGCAGGTCACCGGTGTCTATGTGGTTATCAGCCACGTCCTGCAACACATACACACACACACACACACACACACACACACACACACACAGAGGATAAAAGTTCAGCCTGCGTTTTTTGTCTTAAAATTTACAACTGAATATATAGTAGTAAAAAATGTCACATTATAACAATGTGTATAAAGAAATGTAAACTTATTAGAGTTAGTTCATGTTTGAGTGTTTCTACTCACGTGACAGTGTGTCTGAATGATGGGCTCACACGCTCTAATGAGAAGAGCATCAATCTGAATGTCCTGCAGCCAATAGTGAGAAATAATAAATCAGAAACAGACAGCGACAAAATCCATTAAAAAAAATCTGAAAATTAAAATGAACCAAAAACTATTACAATGAATAATTCAAATACTAATCACTCAATAAAAAAGATTTTTTGATATTTTTTTTCTGACTAAACTCCACTTTATGACTATAAGGGAGCTTTCACCTCTGACTCTGCCTCTGTCAAGTTTCCAACAACATCCCTGCAGCCAGAAAGTAAGTCCTCCAGATGATCCTGCAGACACTCCAGCTCCTGAAGAGAGACAGAGAGACAGACGGACAGACAGACAGATGTTAAATGTTTCTAACACCGACTCTGAGCTCTGACTCAGCAGATTACTGCCTGTAGCTGTCTCACACCTGTCCCGTGTCGGTCTTCTCGCTGCACCACTTGCCCAGGTCAGTTATACAGCTTTTCTGAAGTTCAGGGTCCAGCTTCACATCCAACGCCCTCTGGTGGAGAATCCGCTGAACCTCCACCTTACAGTCCCTGGATAACTGCAAGAACAACACACACACAAGTGGACATTTTAGTGAAAAGTAATTCAGGAAAATGCACACTGAGTACAGAAGTGCTGAAAGCTGAGAAATCGTGCTGTGAACCCATTGGTGTAGGATGTATGGATTACTGTGATTTCATATGAATCTGGATAAAGTCATGGATGATTTCCATTTAAGATCAAATGTATTCAATTACACAATCCTGTCAGGATGTGAAAAGAGCGCATTAATTTATATGCAAGCCTTAATAATTTACGTCCTTCACCAGAACTGATGTGTTACCATACCTGCTCGTCAGGATTTTGCTGTTAAAATTTAAAAAACACAAAAGTTAATCATCTGTCTGTTGCACGAACGATCTCTAAAACTGAGTCTAGTGTATGTTTCCTTCATCATACCCGTCGTCCCTGCTCCTCTGTGCGGTAAGCGTGGCGGTAGAGGCAGGAGAAAACGGCACCTGCTGGCATCTGCTCACTGGTCTCATTCCATTTGTGGGTGTAGCAGAGGCGAGCGGCGTCACCTTGACACTTTTTATACAGGATGGGGTCTAGTCTGTGGAAACAGCGGATGTAAAAATGACTGTGTGCTTCAAACACAGGGACAGGTACAAACTCTCAGGTCACGGCAACGGAAAAACACACAAAACACTTACTTCCAGTCTCTGGATATGAAATACTGCAGCTCCAGCAGTCTGTGTTCACAGTCCTCCACCATCTTCTCTGTGTACAGATGCTCCATCAGACACGAAAGGATCCTGAACACAAACACACACACAGAAATGTCCCACTCATAAAGAGAGAAAAGAGAGAAAACCTGACCTGTGGTGTAATAGTAAAATTCATTTAGATTTTATTTTCCCTTTTTCTACCTGGTATGATTAGCTGATAACCTGGTATTTGAAACTGAGATGTGTGTTTACTAAACAATGTGTGTGTGTGTTGTGTGTGTTCTCAGCTCACATTGGGTCTCCAGAGCGGATGTGTTTGCAGGCGGTCTGGATCACGGATTCACAGGCCTCGTTTAACGCACGATCGATCCTGTAATCAGCTCCAGGGTCGGCAGACTGGATCAGACTTTTTAACTGCAGCAAAAACATATATACAAGTATGTTTAAGTGTATGTGAATCAGGAAATGTGTTTTTTTTAATTAACAATTATTAATGATTAATTTAAATCAGCAGAAAGAGACTGTAGTCTTACTGAACTCTGGCAGACACTGTCCACAGCAGTGCTGCGGTCACTGCGTCCGATTCTCATCAGACAGTGAAGTGTGCGGCCTTTGCGGTGCAGACCAGAGCAGTGAGACTCAATCTCTGCCCGACAATGAAGTACGATCTCTGGACTCAGAGAGAAATCCTCCATGAGCATCCGTCTGTAGTCCAGCATCTCTCCCTGACACTCTCCGCTGACTGGACGACCTGGGCGACACGTGGTCGTTACTACAGACAGGTTTCACAGACAAGGGAAGAGTAAAGCCAATAGGCAGTGTTTCCTGCTCACCACGATGAACAGCAGCCTCCAGACACAGCAGCAGGTAGGAGAGCCGGGCCTCACGGGCTCTGGGCAGGTTGGTGTCCAGGTTGCAGCGATGCTTCTTCAGGTCAATCTTACAGGCTTTGGCCAGAGAGTAACTGACTTTATAGTCCTGAGAGATGAGCTTCTGACGGGTGGTCAGGGCGTCGCGGCACTTTAGAGCAAAAATAAGGAGGCGGCAGCAGAGTTTTTTATTAGTCATTATTTTTAAATGCAATGTATTTTGTTTTATCTGTTGCTGAGAATTATTTTTATCTCCCATAAACCCAGGAGTGAAATGTTCAGCTCGTCCTACCTTCTCTGACATGGCCTCTTCAAACTTGTGATTGAAAAGACACTTGTAAACTTTGCCTTCTCCTGCCTGAATCTGTATGAAAGAAAGAAGTTTATTTGAAAAACAAAATTAGATTAGTTTTTTTTTAAAAAGAATTACAATTTCTTAGTAAAACGATGAATCTGTAAATGTGCATGTGATGTAAAAAACCAACTGTCTCCTCACATTTTGACAGAATCTCTCTCTGTCATCCCGACAGGAGAAGTAAAGATGGCGATCGAGGTGGAAGTCGTCTGACGACAGCTCGGCCACCCGCAGGATCGCCCTCTGACACTCCTCTTTGATGGAATATACTTGATCCTGCTGCTCTGCTGCCTGAACCAAGGCCTTCTCCAGACAGGCGATGACCTCACCCTGGGAGTGTACGTCCTGGGGAGGAGAGAACAGCAGCACAACAACGGTGAAGTTATATCTGTGGTCTATGGTCAGTACTGGGTCTGGTTTTCCTCACTGGGCGTCTCCCTGTAGTTAGGTCTCTGTCACTGACACAACTTTTGTTGTGGAAGGAAGTAATATTAGATACTTAAAGAAGCTTAAAGATGCAGTAAGCATTATTTAAAAAAAAGATGCCCTGTAATACAAATTTTTGTTTTTTAAATTTAAGTTTTATAATCAATGTGTAAAACCTTTGGGCTGGATAATTGTTTGTGTCTGAACAAATGATGTCCACACACTCTCTCTCTCTCACCTTATGTCCCACATTGATGCTCCCACAGTGCAGGCTGTTGATGTCCTCCTTACACTTGTCCGTGAAGCCACAGATGAATCTGTAGTCACTGAAAATGATGCCAGTCATCTTAGTCACATACTGGTTACACTGATAATCGCTGATGTTGCCACGGTGATCCACCAGGCAGGACACCAGGTAGCCCCGTCCCCGCTCCTCCTCATTGCACTCCTTAATCTGAACAGTTGAACATGTGACAGCACTGTTAGAATACTGATCAGAGTCAGCGAGATACTGAAGGGTATCTGTGAAGTGCATGGAGCAGACTGACCTCAGAGATGCTGCTCTTGCAGACCTCCATGGCCACTGACTCAAACTTTGTATCCGTGGTCAGGTTGAGCTTGTAGTTCCACAGAAGCTGATGCAAAGAAGCAAGAAAAACATCACAGCAAACAACTTCATATATTATAACTTTAAAGTTTTAAATTACTAAGTAACTTAGGTGAGAACCCAGCATTCAGCCTTTACTGACACAACACTGACAGTCTCTAATATAATATCCAAACTCCCTTCTCTCTTTTATATTCTCCACATTCTCTTGTGCTTTCCATTTCGTGTCTACTGTTGTTATTGTCTTTTTGGGCCAGCCAAGTTGAGGCTGCAGCAGCTGCAGAAGCTGCAGACAACAAGTGACAGTCTGAACGCCCATATAATAACAATCCAACAATTGTGTGTGTGTGTGTACTTGTGCTTTCGTTGTGTGCAGTGGTGTGTTGTGTCACAATGACAAGTAGTTCACTTTCCTTTCCTTGTGTTAATGCTTACTAAGGAAATGGTGCTGGTATTGATGTCTAAATATGTGGTTTTTAAAGTTGTGTCTTCTGTAGTTTGATTGGTTAGAATATGAAATGCACCTTTGAACCAATTCTGGACCAGCAATCAATCACAAGCCATTTGTCAGTGTACTATAGTACTGGATGTCACCTTATTTTAAAGCTATACACACACAAAAGAACATATCCTAAAAATGTACACTATTATCTGTACTACTGACATCTACTAGTTCTGATCATTTTATATTTTCATTCTGAAGCATTTTAGTGTGTTTCAAAAGAAAGTGAAAAAGAAAACCCAACTAATGAAGCTTTCATTAGCTGGGTTATAGCACAGCACCACATACTTCCTGTGGCCTATTAACGTGACTGTGGGGATTCATTTCTCCGTGACTCATTGTTTTGGTTTGGTTTTGCCTGTTTTTTAAAGCAATCATTTCTTTGTATTCCGTCAGCTGCAAAAATAAATAAAAACCAATGCAGAATCCTAACCAGGGGCTTGTTGAGACCTGTGTGTATGGGTGTGTGTGTGTGTGTGTGAGAGAGAGAGACAGTGGGTCTTGTCATGGACTATGAATAAGAGAGACAGTGGGTCTTGTCATGGACCGTAGTGAATTACAGCCCCTGCTTCCCCCTGCAGTGATAAAGACAGTCCAAGTGGTCCATTAACCATGTGGCATTTCATAGACCTGTCTGCTGTTAATTGCTATGGACTCTGAACACTGGAGGTTTACCATCCAGGAGTCACTGAGCTGAGCTGCAAGAGTCTTTTCACCACGAGACAACAACCTCAGAACAAATGAAAGCGTGTGGAAGTTTGGAACTAAGAAAATATGGTCATCTCAATTTCCCATAGACAGAAGACTGTGAGTACTTTGGAAGAAGCACTTACGTGGTTACAGTCAGCAGCAATGTCAGTTTCCTGCAGAGAAAGGAAAGAATGTGGAGAAAAGAGAGGGGGAAAAAAAAATCAGCAAAAGCTCTTCTCTCCATAAACACAACAGTAAAAGGGTCAGATGTAAACAGCACAAAGGCTGTAGCACGTGGTCATATTATTAAATCAGCTGGTCACCGCACACACTTTTTCCTGTTGCAGTGAAGCTGGAGTCTCTACCTGCTGACATGAAGTCAAGGACTAAAGGCTGGATGTCTCCTCTGGGTCTTTAAAAACATGAAACCTAGATGCACTTCCTGGCATCTATTCAAAAGCTGCCATCTTGTCCAGTGAATTTTCCACCAATCAATATCTTTTTTGGCTTTTGTTGAAATCATTCCAAAATTCTGACGGTCCATTGAATACATCACATGCAATGTCACGTGCGGTTGGTTTAATAATAAACAGTAGTAAAAACATGAATTTATTGTCTTTATTTGGTTTATTTATTAACCAGCAAATCATGTGACCAACTTGTTTATACAGTAAGTCTGTCCTTACAGGCCATGGACTAAACCTGAACTAATTTGTTTATAACATGTATGTAGGACCATTGAATGGTATTGTTTGTGTTTATGTCACTATTTCTAAGTACATTAAATGTGGTTGTGGGGAAGCACAATAATCATAATAATCAGAGGAATAATAATAAATGTTCTTGTCTTATATTAATGTTTTTTCATTCATTTCCAGATAAGAATCCAAAGTGATGGCAAAAGACAGTGAACAAAAACTGCAGTGAAAGAAATCAGTTCTCTCTCACAGTCACCACTGCTCGTGAATCGCTCAACATCCCCCCCACACTCTCACTGATTCACAGCGAAGTTGGAGAATGAAGCGTCCGACTGTGTCAGTGAGTGACTGTGGCCAAAGTCCTGTCCTGTATGTGTTGGCTGCTTATTAAGTAGTTGGTTATTGAATGGTAAAGCTTTGACTTTTTCCATGATGTACCCAATTATTTGGGATGTTTTAACACATGCCAACACCCTGACACCGTTGTGTGTGCACACAAGGTGATGGTGGGTTGGTGTGTCAGTGTGTGCGTGTGTGTTTCTCTGGAGAAAGGACAGATTTATAGAAGCCATTTACCTCTTCAGGAGGCCACAGCTGTTATTGAGTTGAAGCAATGTAATTATCTCAGTAAGGAGGCCATCGCTCAGGGCTGTCAGAGGTGTCTGTGTGTGGTTATCTGTGGTTAGGTGTGTGGTTATGTGTGTTCTATTTGTGATCAACTGAGAAGACCAAATATTAAGGTAATGTATTATCAGAGGAAATGTATCCACATGCACTTGCATTCAAACTGTTATGCATTTATCAACAGTGTTTATGACACAATTACATAAATGTTATTAATGTACTAAAATAGACTCTTGCATACATCACTGTTTACAAACGTTATCATGCATCCATTATATCAGAGGTCAAGCGTCTGCCACAGAGCCAACGTACTGAGACAAACAATCACTCCTACTCACATTTACAAAACTGACCATTTCACAATTGCCAAATAAGCTAATGCTAAAGATTGGAAAAATATATATATATATAGAATATAGAATATATAATACAGATGTAATTGGACATTAGAAAATATATCTTAAATAAAGTTTGCACAATTCTATATTTAGTATCCTCTGTTAGTGCTGGCTGCCTGGAGAGGATGGAAATTGGGATACAGATACATAAAAATAACACAATTTTGCCTCAGAAAATTAAATTAATTAAATTTCTTAATCATAAAACACATTATTATGAGCTGTAATTACACACTAGTATTGCACTGTAATTATCTGAAAGTGTCAGCAGCACTTACAGCTGGTAGATAAATACAATAAAGAAGATAATTTATAAATATCAGCTAGCTGGCAGTTAATATATGAAGCGGTTTAAATTTTCGTTAATACCACAAAAGACAAATATGGAAAGGCTCAACAAATATATTTCATTTTGACAATTATAAAAAGATTTTAAATGTTTCCACAACTCTTAGGACTTTGAGACCTGCTAGAGAAAACTGGCGGGATTCAATGATACAACAATTGACTTATTTACTATTTTTCTGACTGATGAAATTTAATTACAATTATTTTAATAAATCTAATGAGTGTAACTCAGCGGGGCGACACACCCAGCCAAAGCCCGTTATCACGTCCCGAGAAACGGTGTGACGCGATCAGTTGTCGCCGGGAAGCGCTCACCTCTCTGCGGTCCTGCAGACACTCCAGGACGGCCAGGTTGTTGCTCCAGGTGTGTTTGGGACATAGCCGAGTCAGGTCCTCCCGACAGGCCTCCTCCTCAGACAGCTTCCAACCGGTCGCCCTACGAGGCGGCGAGGCCCCAGCAGGAGCGGCAGGAGCAGGTGCATCCCTGGCTGCCGCATCATCTCCTCTGTGGACCGAAGCCTTGGGCGGTTCTGCCGGACCAATGGCAGCCTTCAGCCCAAGGACGGAGCCGAAGGAGAAAGAACAAACGAACAGCAAAATGAGCAGCGGCCGCAACAGCTGAGGGCGACTGTTAGACGCCATCTTCCCACTACAGTCAAACTGACATTAATGGAACCATCGCATTTCCGGTCAGCACAATAAAAGCCGTTTTCAACGGTTACGTATTTATTTTATATGTCCGGTCATTTTTATTTTCAAAATAAAAGCAGTTAGGCTGGGAGACGCGCCACTGTACAGGTCACGTTCGAATAACAATTCAATAAACTTCTTAAAAATCTTGAAGAAAAATATCTGAAAACGATCCATACATACAGTTTCACCTACTATGTCTAATTTTAATATATGTAAGGTAATGGAGTCATCAAATGAAAAATGACAATTTTGAAAATGATTTTGCAACAGAGTTTGATTTAAGAGGGAAAATTGGATTACAGTATAGTAGTTTTGTTAATGTAATTTGTTTGTTGCCAAAAATTTTTAACTTTTTATATGTTCTCTTTTGGCTCTTTTTGAAAACCTTGTATCAAAACTTTTTTTCATCTATACTAGGGCTAATGCTACATCTGTGGCTACAGCTGTGTTTCTGCTGATTTTGTAGCTTTTTTGCTAATGTTGCACACACACACGCAAACACACATATATATATCAGTATTGTACAATGGTGCTTAAATTGTTTTCTATGTTTGTTCCTTCTCTTCACCTCACTCCCTGAGCAGCTGATTTGATGGGAACCAACCACATAGGAGCAATAAATCCTCCCAGTTTAGGGCTGACAGCTGCTGCCGAGCTTTTTCTGCTTCACTGCAAACCTACTATTAGAGTTAGTTACAAATAGCACTAGAGGGGGTTTTCTTTCTATTAAGAAACTTTATACTTTTCTTTGTTTCTTCGTATATAACCTACAGCTCAGAGTTGTACTCTATTGGAGGTAACAGAAATTCATTTCCTCTGAAAAAAGATGTCTCTGAGATTAAATGGCACCATTTAGGTTCTAAATGGGTTGGGAAACAAAGTTCAGCATGAGTATTAAAAATAGTAAATGTGACTTGTTGCTTGTTCCCAGTAGATAATATTTTCATTTTGAAAACTTTAGAATTCAAGATACCATGTGAGATACTGTAGCTGAAATAACCCAGAAAGATGACAGGCTGTGTCAGCTGTTAGAAGCTACAGCTGAGTTGACTCAGAGGGAAACCACCACAGAATTGTTGAGCCCATTGAGTCTCAGTCATCAGTAAAAATAGTACTAATTGATTGGTTTTATGTTGAAACAGTGTGTTAGTTGTTTAAAGTGTATAAACACTTTCCTACATATACAGACATTTTTGACATCAAAGTTGGCATATTTGACAACAAAATGTGTCCTGATAATTCATATGTAATTACCAATAATTTCACCGCATTGTGTTTTATTGTTAAAGAAAGTAATTGTTAAATAAATAAATATGAACATTCATATAATCACAAAGACAATGCTAAACAAATGTCATGTACTGATCAACTATTCTCTACAGTATAGGTTTAATTATATTACAAACACGATATAATAATATATAAATATTTGTAATATTTGTAATATTTGTAAAGTAATATATTACACTGTAGTGCATATTAGAATAGAACATAAATGGCCAACATCAACTGCAATATGCCTTAATGAAAAAGTGTAGATTTCATTTGTCACGGGAGTTGTCATTGCCTGAAAAATTCCAGAAGCGCTTGTTTCAGCTCAGCTGCTGCCGTTGACCAACTGGTGTTGGTCCATCACACACACACACACACACACACGCACACACACACACACTGAGTAGACGTCTATAAAGAGACCTAAAAGCTCTTGTGTTCCTTCTTGTGTCTCTTCCTGTGCCATAGGCAGTATTCCTCAGGATGGCAGAGTAAGTCCAATCCATACTATTGCTTTTACACACTTTTCTTTAACAAACAAACATTAGACCATCTATAATAATTTGCATATATTTGTCTTTGTTTGTTAAGGAAAAAGATGTCAACCAGCCGGAAGAATCAGCTTAAGGTAAATTGTCATGTTTGGGATCAGTGCAGTTTTAGCAATGTTCATCTTGTCCAAATGTCCCCTCTAACAAATGTCTCACTGCTATGTTTGTTTTAGGAATTTACATATAGGACCATAATATGTCTGTAAAATTATTTTACTACTTATTATGTAGTTGGCTATACCTCTTTCACTTTTTTAAAAACAATTCTAGACCTCTTCTCATGACGTCTATATTTAGTCCTTGCAAATGTTTAAGAGAGTCTTCAAAGCATTTTCCATCAGCACTGCAAAATGAGAGTCCAATCTCTTTCTGTTCAGAGCCTGCTACTGCAGATCGCTGAGACAATGTTGGAAGAGGAGGCCGGGGAAGCAGAGAAGGAGAAGATGGTGTACATGGAGGAGAACTGCCCAGTCCTCTCCATCTCAGGAGGTACACAGGAGCTGCAGGTAAATATCCACAACTTGGTGAATGCACCAGGTGAATGCAGTGACAGATAAATATTTGATTCAGACAAGATTGATCAAGAACCTCTTATAAGTTATTCAGATTTTCTCCTGTTATTATAACAACAGGAACTGTGCCGGAAGCTTCACAAACAGATTGAGATGGTGGATGAAGAGAGATATGACATGGAGATGAAAATGAAAAAGTCTAATAAGGAGGTGTGCCAAGCTTCTTATATTATTATTGTAATAAGCTCACTCAGTAAATCTACAGATGTGCCTGATTGAAATTTGTCAAAAACAATACCTAAAATGAGGACAGTATTATGAGCAAACCTCTACCTTTAGTCTCAGTTATTTTCTTTTCTGTCAGATTGACGACTTAAAGCTGAAGGTTCGGGATCTTAATGGCAAGTTTAGAAAGCCAGCATTGAAAAAGGTACGAATGTCTGCTGATGCCATGCTGGCTGCTCTTCTGGGCTCAAAACACAAAGTGTCCATGGACCTGAGGGCCAACCTGAAGCAGGTCAAAAAGGAAATAAAAGAGGAGGTAGGATGATTAAGTTATTATACTGTGGAAAAATTATAATTATTAAGAATTCTGTATAAAACTTAAAATAAAAAACCTATATTAACTGTCACTTAGGAAAAACAAACTGGTGACTGGAGGAAAAATATTGAACACAAGGCCGGGATGGACGGCAGGAAGAAGATGTTTGAGACAGATGCCTAAATATCAGTGTGTCAAAAGTGTTAGTGTATGTTTTATTATGTAGGTCTACATCGCTTAAAACTTGTATAGAATATAAAGGAAAAAATAAAATCGGATTTCTTGTGTGTTTTATTTCTTGAAACTTGCTCTTAGACACAATACCTGTAGGTGGCGGCATGACAAATGCTGTTGTCGGTCTGCTTAAAAATCTCACGAAGAAGAAAAAAACTTCTGTTCCCTGGTCACATGACAAGACGTCCAACAGTAGAGGAAGCTCCCGTGTTGAAAGGATACTAATATTTGAAGAAATAAACATTTCCAACTTCATTTAAACTCTTTGGTAGTCAGACTGGGCACCTAAAGTAGGAAAGGATCTTCGTCTTTCCATACAAAGCCAAAAATGACGGCGGCAGTTTTTTTCGGCTGCACCTTTATTGCCTTCGGCCCGGCCATAGCTCTGTTCCTGTTTACCATCGCCCGGGAGCCGCTGAGGGTCATTTTTCTCATAGCAGGGTGAGATTGTCTGGATTATATATATAAATATATATATATATATATAAATTAAAACATCTGTAAATCTGTTACATCTGTTATCTGTCAGTGTTTTTGCATTATTTGCGTAAACATATCACCGGTAAATAGTGGGGTTAGCATGTTGGCTAACGAAATCCTTGTTGCTATGACCAAACCTCAACGTTTTACATGACAAAAAAAAAAAACAAAACTAATCCTATTCTCTTTTTCTTTATAACGACTAGAGGCACAGTCTGTGAAGGCACAAACAATATAACACATTGAATGTATAAATCAGGTTAATAGTGTACTTACACTGTGTAGTATTGTAGTATTTTTGATATAGTTAGATGTTTAATTTTTTTTCACATCCTCAATGAGTTTAAATTTTATTTCAAATATGAAATTATTTTATTTTCCTCCAGTGTGCATCGTAAACTGACATCCGCAATGAAGGTCGCCATATTGGATTGTAATGTTAAAACCATTTCTCTAAAAATAACAAAGTTAATCTATATTTAATAAAGTAACTGATAGTTATATATGAACCGATACGTGCTTGAACGTGGTTTCGTGCGAGGCATATTGCCATATGTGATAATGGTGGATGCTAACTACTGTATCTGTAAGCTTTAAGAATAACGTATACATATATATGTTTATATGTATATGATATACCGTACATTTTGGAGCCTAGTGGGATGTAAACACAAAGCTAACCACCTCTGACATCCTTTTTATTAATCTGGCAGAGCATTTTTCTGGCTGGTGTCTCTGCTACTCTCCTCCCTCGTGTGGTTCATCTCAGTGCAGATCAGTAATAAGGATAGTGCTGCCCAGCAGAAAGGTCTGCTCATCTTTGGTGTGGTGCTGTCCGTCCTCCTGCAGGAAGTCTTTCGCTTTGCGTACTACAAACTTCTGAAGTAAGTTGCTGTCATTGTTATTGACTTGTTGATGTTGTTGTTAACCCTTCTTCATAGATTTAAACACTTTCCTCTGTTGATTAAAACAATCTCTAAAATTATGGTTTGAGGTCAGAGTTCATTTCTCAAAATCTCTGCTATTAATGCTGAGTTGTATAGATTTCTGCTAGTTGCTTGTTTTAGGAATGATTGCACCATTTTAGTAGAACAAACCAACTGGATCTCATTTCGCTCCCTTCTGTTTGTCTGGCCTGGTTTCCTACTATTTTCCTCTTTATAATTGTTAAAGGTCAGATCATCTTCCTTCCACTGACATATCTATTTACTGGTCTTTCTTAGGTTCACGGCAACAACAATGTGACTTTTTTTGTGTCTCCCTCTGCAGAAAAGCAAATGAGGGACTTCTCACTCTCAGTCAGGAGGAAACCATGCCCATCTCGATACGGCAGCTTGCATATGGTACAACCAATATTCACAATATATTCACTGTTACATGGTACAGGCAAATTTATATAGAAAGCTGAAGGAAATTAAAATGCAGGGGAAATTAATCATGTCTTTCAGGCATGATCAGAAAGCTTTTTATTGTTTTATTTATTTTATCATTTATTTGGTCCATGTGATTTGTAAACTCAAACTCAACTTTATTGTCGAATACCAGATTAGGTGGTGTTTTTGTTTAATTTTAAAGTGACAAATGTCATTTAGTTAACAAGATGTTCTTTTTCCTGATTTCATTTAAGCATCAGTCATTGATCATATTGCTTTTCCCTGTTGTTATTTATCTTTCAGTGTCCGGTCTTGGCTTTGGTTTCATGAGTGGAGCCTTCTCAGTGGTGAACATCCTGGCTGACTCTGTAGGACCAGGAACTATTGGTATCCACGGAGACTCGCAGCATTACTTCCTGTCTTCTGGTACCAATTTAAAATAGTCTTTAGTTGACTGCATAAACTTTTTACATTATTCCAATAAGCTGCCTGCAGCTATACATAGTATGATATGACCTCTTTTTCAGCCTTCATGACCATGGCCATCATCCTGCTTCACATGTTCTGGGGCGTGGTGTTCTTTGATGCCTGTGAGAAGCAGCGCTGGTGGGCTTTGGCTGCTGTCATATTAAGTCACCTTTTGGTGTCTTGTCTGGTGAGTGTTGCTGTTGTTAAAGGACAACAAAGCTCTGATGCCACAACCTTGTAGATGTTTTATGGAAGATCATTTTTAATAGAGAGAAATTAAGAGAGAGAGAGGGAGAAGGAGAGAAGTCAGGGATACAGAGATTACATCAAAGTACATCTACAGTATACTGTAACAACTTTTGGGAGCATCACTTTAAAAATGCTTCATCTTTATTTATGTGTAGAGTACAATAGCAACTTAAATGTACAGCTACGTGTAGGTACATTTGGAGTTATTTAACTAAAAATGTAAACTCTCTCAAAAGTTGATATTTGTTGTCATTGGAAAGTGATGCTGCAGTTAACGGATGCTAATTACATAAATATAGCATTGCATGACATCATGACTGTCCATAAAGCTTACCATCATTTTGTTGGCCACAGACTGTACTTTAAATCAGTCCCACTCTTTTCATTGGCCGAGTGGTATCACATAATCATACATACAACTAGAGAGTTGCATGTATGTATATTAATGTCAAAGAATTCAGTTACAGATACTTCAACTAAAATGTTGTTAATAAAGTGTCTGTCATTGGTCTGACTCGGGGATGGGCTGCTCCTCTTCTGTGGCCTTTAGTTCAGGTTCATCTTCTGCTGGAGGTTCTTTATGCTTCTCAAAAAACATCTTAATCTAGATAGAGAAGCAAACAGAATCACAATAGAATGTATGTGTAATGTGGAGGTGGAACAAAATGCAGTTGGTCATTGTGTAGCAAAACATACAGTGTCTAGCTGTTTTTTGGGGTCTTCCTCTGATCCACCACCAGCCATTTGGTAGAAGTTTTGAATCATTTTCTCAATATTCATTATTTCAGCTGCTTTACTCGCAACAACTTTCTGACGCTGGTCAAACATTTCTGCCTGAATAAAGACAAGGGGATTTTAATCCATTATTCAGAGATTTTGGTCTAATGGCAATCATTTGTACAGAAATATTAGCAGTGAAAATACCCAGATTAGAGTCTCAGATGCTGCCTCTTTAATTTGTGTTAAATCAAGCTTGTTCTGCTCTTCTGTTTTCTGTTCGTCACCCTCTTCCTCTCGCTCTGCTGTCCGCCGTAACAGGTCGTCTCTTAGATCCAGTTGTCTCTCCAAATTGCCCACAAGTGACTCTACATCACTGAACTGCTTACATAGACAAGAGCAAGGCAGTAATCCAACTTACTGAATGCAAATTTTTACACATAACAAGAACACACCAACCAACATAATCCTAAAATTAAAAGTAGGTTCCCACTTTACAATGACTCATTTTACTGTAGATGATACCGGTCCAACCTGTTTTTTTTAAGCCCACCTCAGTCATTTGTGCCAACTCCTCCATGAAGCCTAAGTACACAATGACTTTCCGCACTTGAAGGTCAAGCTTTTGTTTCCTCTCCCACAGTTCAGCTTTCTCCTGCTTTAATTTCCTTATCTGCTCCTTTCTTTCGATCGCATTTCTCTTTGCGTCCTCCACGGCGTTTACACAAGCTCTCTCAGCTTTTTGATGCTGTGCCGGAATATAGACAAAACGTTTTTTACTCTGTTGGGTTACTGTCTGTCAATACATCTATCATGAGTGAAGTATGATTCCTTACCTCTACAAACAATTTATAGCCCATGTGTGACTTTCTTCTTTCCACCTGACGCTCATCTATGCAGTTTTGTAATCTGTTCAACTCCTGCGTGAAAAAGACATATCAAAAAAGACAGTATAAATTCTCGTCTTTTTACATCATGACCTTTTATTTTATTTATTTTTTTAAATGAAAGAGAAGTGAGCCAATGATTACCTGCTTGCGCTGCTCTATAAACATCTTCAGCTCATCTTCCTCCCGTCGCTTCTTCTGTAGTTCATTTATGGCGTCAACCGAGGCTAGTGCCTGGGCCAGCTGAGTGTGGGTCACATCACGGACCGCCACATCTTCTAACTCCCTGCCAACATTTATTTTAGAAGAGTCTGTGTAATTTATATAATTGCTGTCAACATTGCGTTATTATGCTTTAAATTTTCAAACCTAATATACATCACAAATTACCTATTAAGGTTAACACATTTATTTTGACAGCCCAAATGTAAATATAACTGGAGGTATTTCGCCACTAGGCTAAATTTGCCTGTCCAAGGTCTTTTAATCGTTTAGTAGCAGTTTGTATGTATGTATAATAAAATATGTGGGCAAAAAGAGGAAAAAAAATTGGTAAACGTGTGAGGCTACAATTAACATGTCAACACATGACATTTATAGCTGGAGCTTTTATTAAGACTCTGTCCTTGTGGCACCTTTTGCTGAACGTAATGTTGTTGCAGTTTTTGACGTTGCTGTCAATCACATCTATTAACTAATCATATTTACCCTGACACTTTTTAATCCCCCTTGTTTGCTCAGTGGCCTGATCACAATTTACAAAAATACTTTGCACAACACAGAAGAACTTCTAAATTACACGTCTGGTACGATTCCTGACTAACTTCCGCTCTTTCTCCCGCAGCCAGACCCTTAATGTGTACGTATACTGCAGCGTTATATTTACTGTACTGTTTTATTTACTTTTACGTTTTATTGTATTAACTGTAATTGGGTCCTGACGTAAAACTTACTGCAGCGACTCGCGCCGCTGCATACTTGTGCACTTTTTAGGAGCCATGTCTCCGTTACGGAAAGTCTGACAAACACCAACAGCCTGTTAAATATGCAAGTTTGGGTGTGAATATATCAGCAATTGGCGTGACGCAGTAAAGAGGCTGTCGGGTGAAGCTTTGATCTTTTATGTCGCTCGTCTGATTTATTTATTTATTTTTGATTATTTATTTTTTTAAATATGCGTTTGTCCACGTCATAAAACGTATTAATATTACGGGTTAAGAATAACTGCGCCAGGAATACGGTTTCGCGGACACTGTTTGTTTTTTGGGCTTGTAAACTTGAAAAGCTGATGATTACAATTATTAATAAAAAACAGGAAGAATATTACATATAGACGGTCTACATGGGAAGTAAATCTAAGCGAAATTCAAGATAAGAATCAATTTGTATTGACAGTACAATAGCGTTAATTTCCTGTCAATACCCGTTAATTTCTCAACGTTTTATTGGCATGACATGAACGGATCTCAATGGAAAGAAAAATCAAAAATATTTTTGTGATCAGGACAGTGGCCAACATCTTTTTGTATCTAAATATGATACAAACATGTTTTTATCCTGTAGATTAAAAATATTTAGAATTGTATTGTCCATACTTTGGCGTTTGAAATACATAATACATTTGTTATTGGCTTTAAAAACATGTTTATTATTAAAAACTAATAAATGTTTTTTTTTTTTTCTTACAGCAAGGAGGTGGTTGTTTTGAATTGACTGACTCACACCTTATTGTCATTTAAGCAGCTGCATCTATGTTGATAAAAACATTGTTTTTTAGATTTGGTCCTGACATTTCCAAAATTGATAAAAAATTAAATATATGGACTAAAGAACACAGGGAGAAAATGCAAGAAATAAATTTAAAAAAAGAAATTGGAGAAACAGATATACATATATATTTTGAATACAGCAGCAGGATCAGTAACATATGTGGGAAATGTGGCCTTTAGACCAAGTTATTAGTCATTGGTGGCTGCCACACAAACCCGAACATTATGTTTATGACTAATGTTCAGTACAATTGTTTGTGCTCTTATAGTTTCTTATGTTATGTATAATGTTAATGTTCTGCTTTTTGTGTTGATCTTCTTCTCTCACAGACATTCCAGAATCCTGAGTACGTTACTAGCCTTGTTCCCACCTATGTCGTCTTGTTCTTGATGGGCATCTGGGCATTTTACACTGCAGGTGGTTCACTCAGGAACCTCAAACTCTGCCTAACCTGTAAAGACAAGGATTTCTTGCTTGCCAACCACCGGCAGAGATAACGCCTCAGCACCTGGGACTCTATCCAAAGATCCAAAATACACACACACTGAGTTTGTTATACGAGCAAAATGAACAAAGCTAAGTTCAATGTGTGTATGCTTAATGATATTGTTTTATCAAGTGATTGGTTAGTAATTGAAATTTGCCATTATTGGCCGATACTCTAAGAATGAAATACTTGTTTCATCTGAGGGAAACATTGCTCTTTACATTCTTAAAACACTTTATATTAATGTCTCTCGTAGGGCATATACATTTAGTCTCTGGGTGATTTAAGTTACTTCACCAACAGTACTATGTAAATACATGTTGATGCATTCCAGGATATGAGCAATTTAAACTTTTGCATTTATGCTGACTGAATTTAGACTTGCAAAATCTAATTGAGGATGTGAGTTGACGCAGTTATTGCATCTCTTGGTAAATAATTTTACATACTGTCCTTTCAGACATTGCAGTTGCTGATTTCCTTTATACATAAACCTATCATCTACTCGAAGGTAGGATTTTCTAGGTGTTCTTCTGGTTTACTCATTTTGACAGTTGTCATTTCATAATGTCTCGTACTAGTCTGAGTCAGTAATAATGTTTGCAGGTTCTATTCAGATTGGGAAAATCTCAGCCTGACTCTGAATCTTTTCAATTATCATTGAGAGACAAAACAAAAAAATCAGTCACTTCTAAACATTTTAAGTCATCTAAACATCTGTGTAAAAGGCTGTTGAATTTTTAATATCTCACAGTGTTGTGAGATGACTGTACTTTTTAATTCTTGCGCTCCTGTATGCATTCAAGTACAGCACTGGGAAGAGTTCAAACAAATTCACGCTAGAGTGTTTAGACTTGATAAGTGTCTTTTAGTATTTGCTCTCTTCATTGTCATCACATAGCACATAATGTCTTGTGAATGAGTGCAGGAGCAGTGTCGAAGTCTGTAAAACTGCACAATGTATGATCTTTCTTTGAACCTGTTCTTGTGTTTCTGCTTTTGATGCATTTTGTGTACAGCTTATTTAGTTCAATCTCTGCTGTTTCATTGGGAAAGGGTGTAAGTTCATAACAAGTTAAAGTGGTAAAGGAAACACTTGAGTCGCTTTGTCTTTATTGGCTTCATGCTCAAAGTGAAAGAAATATCAATTTAACCACAATCTACTGTATTGAGGTGAAACTAACATTTAGATTAAAATGGTTAAAAAGGTTTTACTGATAGGAGTTGAGGAATAAGATAGGAAGCAGGTTGTGACCAGATGTCGAATACATACTTTTGAATTTTCCAAAGTAGAACATTTTGTTGGAAACACCACCTGAAGTAGTGTTTAGTTGTAAATTGATGTGTGTTGTAGTTCTCATAAATAACCTTTTTACTAAATGTTTTTTTTTTACTTCCGCTTGTGTGCAAAGGTGACAGTTGCTTGAAGTGAAAATTCATGGAAATATTTATTGTATGTGTATCTTTCCTGCATTTTCCAGAGAAACGTTTTTCAGTTTTGGAGCAAGGTAATGCTGCGTCTCACTCTACTAAGTCATGGCTTTTGTAAACTCTTGGTGTGAATGCTTGACTGAACTTCATGTTCATGAATTGAAACCTTTCTGCCCTTTGACCCTTACCTCCAGCTAGTGTCTGTAATTGAAAACTGATATCTTGTTGGTCCACTCAGAGCCAGCAGCAGTCTCCTAGGAGTTCAGTCAATCACTAACCCTTTAATGCAAAAAACTAAAAGTGACATCTGATAAAACACATTTTCACAGGCAACGCTGTGACTCTAGCCATGTAAGCAATATTTTCCTTCTTCCAAAACGATTAAGAGTTAGGTAGCCAGGTACTTTCAAGGTAAACAATGTTATACTTTGTTTGTGATTGAGTATTAGAGGTGAGTCAAAACAAGTAAATAACTGTAACATGTTAAGTCAGTCTCTCCACAGCTTGTTGTTGTTCGATGAGGCAAAGACACTGCTTGTGACCAGGTTTGAGAGACATCTCCCTGAATTCTACAAAGAAGGACATGGCTGACTGAAAGACCACAAGTATTTTGACTTGGAGGTTTGTAGATAAAGCTTTTTTAAGTCACTCAACAGCTATTTTGGTTTCCACTGAATCTAAAGTGTATTTATTGTTATTTTGCAGGTCTACGTTCCATGCAATGTGAGGTTGGATAACGTGCTTTTTTAGAATTAATTGTTGTGATTAGATGTTATATTAGGGTAGCCACGTGTTGTACAGTGACTGGTCGAGATGATACATGCTTTTCACTTGTTATAATTGGAAGCATTTGAAGGATAAAAGGTTTATGTAAAACAAACAAACAAAAAAAACAACAACTAGATAATTAGATCCTACATAAATCTGCTGCTTTTGTGTACAGCTTATTTAGTTCAATCTCTGCTGTTTCATTGGGAAAGGGTGTAAGTTCATAACAAGTTAAAGTGGTAAAGGAAACACTTGAGTCGCTTTGTCTTTATTGGCTTCATGCTCAAAGTGAAAGAAATATCAATTTAACCACAATCTACTGTATTGAGGTGAAACTAACATTTAGATTAAAATGGTTAAAAAGGTTTTACTGATAGGAGTTGAGGAATAAGATAGGAAGCAGGTTGTGACCAGATGTCGAATACATACTTTTGAATTTTCCAAAGTAGAACATTTTGTTGGAAACACCACCTGAAGTAGTGTTTAGTTGTAAATTGATGTGTGTTGTAGTTCTCATAAATAACCTTTTTACTAAATGTTTTTTTTTTACTTCCGCTTGTGTGCAAAGGTGACAGTTGCTTGAAGTGAAAATTCATGGAAATATTTATTGTATGTGTATCTTTCCTGCATTTTCCAGAGAAACGTTTTTCAGTTTTGGAGCAAGGTAATGCTGCGTCTCACTCTACTAAGTCATGGCTTTTGTAAACTCTTGGTGTGAATGCTTGACTGAACTTCATGTTCATGAATTGAAACCTTTCTGCCCTTTGACCCTTACCTCCAGCTAGTGTCTGTAATTGAAAACTGATATCTTGTTGGTCCACTCAGAGCCAGCAGCAGTCTCCTAGGAGTTCAGTCAATCACTAACCCTTTAATGCAAAAAACTAAAAGTGACATCTGATAAAACACATTTTCACAGGCAACGCTGTGACTCTAGCCATGTAAGCAATATTTTCCTTCTTCCAAAACGATTAAGAGTTAGGTAGCCAGGTACTTTCAAGGTAAACAATGTTATACTTTGTTTGTGATTGAGTATTAGAGGTGAGTCAAAACAAGTAAATAACTGTAACATGTTAAGTCAGTCTCTCCACAGCTTGTTGTTGTTCGATGAGGCAAAGACACTGCTTGTGACCAGGTTTGAGAGACATCTCCCTGAATTCTACAAAGAAGGACATGGCTGACTGAAAGACCACAAGTATTTTGACTTGGAGGTTTGTAGATAAAGCTTTTTTAAGTCACTCAACAGCTATTTTGGTTTCCACTGAATCTAAAGTGTATTTATTGTTATTTTGCAGGTCTACGTTCCATGCAATGTGAGGTTGGATAACGTGCTTTTTTAGAATTAATTGTTGTGATTAGATGTTATATTAGGGTAGCCACGTGTTGTACAGTGACTGGTCGAGATGATACATGCTTTTCACTTGTTATAATTGGAAGCATTTGAAGGATAAAAGGTTTATGTAAAACAAACAAACAAAAAAAACAACAACTAGATAATTAGATCCTACATAAATCTGCTGCCCTCTCTGGCACACACACACACACACACACACACACACACACACACACACACACACACACCGCCCACCCCTGCATGCATTATGCTAATGAGCAGGTGAGTCTGTTCTCGAGTCGCTGCGGAGCCGCAGGTGCTGATGAGGCGGATGGAGCAGCGCAGAGAGCAGCGGGACTTCACGCCGAGAATCTTCATCAGGTGATGCTGTCCAAACCCGACTGACGGGGATCCGCGAAACACGAATGGATCACTATTTAGGACGCAGCTGGAAAAGGCTCTTTCGGTCCTTATCTTTGTTTTTCGTCTTTATTTATCAAGGTGAGTCCCTTGTGAAAATTAGGCTTTGAAGTTATGTATAATTTTGTTGTGCTTATACGATTTTAACGCAAGCAAACTCCCATTTGTTTTATTTTCTTTCAGCTCATATTTCTTGGTGTGCCGAGAGGGTAAATGTTTCTCACAGGAATGCATTTAATAGGTACGTTTTTCCCCCAATTGTATTTTTTATTCTATCAATTTTGAGCGGTGAGACACTCACCTCTCGTGGTTTGATTAATTCCCAGTGGTGTGAAGCCCCTGACAAAGTGTCTTATTGTATAAATTTGCTCAATTACTGTGCACACACGCTAGCATAGATTTATAAAGTAAACTTCAAGGTTGTCTTCTTCTAAATTATCTATCTATCTATCTATCTAACTATCTATCCATCTATCTATCTATTTCTTAGTCCGACGTCAGGTCCGTTGATTCACAGTTAAACCATAGGAAAATTAACTTAATTATGAAATAGTGTGAAGAGCATAACCCATATTCTTCCGTTAAATAAAAATCCTGACATTGTGATTTTTGGCATCTTGATCCCTCTGAGCATCTCTGAGAACCTTTAGTTATTCCTATTTTCTCTTATGTCCCGTAATAATAATAATAATAATAGGAAGAAGAAGAAATAATTTGTCACCCACATCTATATAATACGTATAATAACACATGAATAATTCCCTGAAAATAGCCATTATCAACACATTTATCATTACCATTATTGTGAGTTCTGTACCATAAACTAACACTAAATGTTAGAAGCACTAACCCCTCATGGACATATGGGCAATTTTAACCAATACCTGACTTAATTAGAAAGTTAGTGTTTTTCTTTACAACTGATTTCAAAATTTGTAATAAATCTTTACCTTCTTAAGTCTATAATATTATAGTATCAAGTATATTTATTTAAAAAAATTAACAATAAAAAGATTTTTTTGTGTCGGCATCACTCACTTCTTTTGTAGAAATATCAGCTCTAAACTTGCAGCAACTGTGCCTCTGTGTGCACAGAGAAGAGAGAGTCAATTAAAAACATTGGTGCGCTTAAGATATTTGGCATTAAAGCTGTGCTTCCCAAAGTGTTAATTACCTCAAACAATTGACATAGTTCCTTACACAGTGGAGAGCTAAAAATTGAAACAGTGAAATTTGTCTGCTCCAAATTCATGTATGTTGACTTGGGAAACATAGTGGGACACAATATAGGTGACTTCCCACAAATTGAGCACCCCCTTCTGAGAGAATATTGCCATTTAAAGTAGGTGAGGATTTTAAAATCATCTTTGTCTGCTCCAAATTCATGTATGTTGGTAGTAGGTGAGGATTTTAAAATCATTGTTCTCATGTCTTTTGTTGGAGCCCAGTTTTTATTGATTGTGACTAACAATGTTTCAGTCAGATTCTACAGATACAGGTACAGTCTAATAATTGTACTTCAAAAACATCCCATCAAAAACAAAATATAATTTATAGATAGCCTATAATATCTTACTCACAGATTACTAACATTGAGGTCACAGTCTGGGCTTTTGGCCTAACTTGATTGATTTATTTTAAATTTCTTTTCAATATTATGTTGTGATGCAGACTGTGTTCATTTAAATTTCATGTGTTGGTTTGGTTGACTCCTGAATGATGGTGGGGTTGTGGGGTTTGTGGTGTCATATGTGTGTTGTGGGGGGAATCTGTGGCAAGAACAAACCTTTCCTTGTTCTCTCTGTCCCAGCAGCGGGAGAAGCAGTATAAAGCAGCAGAAATGGGACACCGCTTCCCAGGGAGTGCAGGTAGGCGGTTGCATTGAGCACTGGTGCTGATGGAGTTGCTTCAGGCAGTAAACGCACTGCCAAAGATGGCCCCCCCGCCCCCCAAAAAATCACTAATACCAAAACACAAATCTAAAATAGGGAAACCTTCTGTATCACACCACTACACTTTTGTGGGAACAATGGGAAAGCAATCATTTCAAAATAAATTTAAATTTAATAGCTTTAATAAACTGTACTTAGACATCTTTTGTGTACCAAACCATCTTTCCCATGAGGCCTTCCCTCCACCATGTATACAGATGACACAGTAAGATAAACACAGTAAACTTCAAGGTTCTCTTCTAACATGTATACTTTATTTGCTAAGGTTTTTGCTCCCTCACACCCAAATTTGTAGGGGTCCCTGTAGGGATATACCGTATCTGTTGTGTTGTTTTATGTTCCTTTGTCAAAGCCACAATCAATTTGAGTGTATTGACTTTTTTTTTTCTTTAGCTCTGACAGAGCAATCACATTCAAGATATACGGAGAAGCTTGGAACTAAAAAATAACCAAACAATCAATCAATCAATTACATTGCAAACTTAAGTTTAATCTCCTCATCTTCCAATGTCATACTGATATTGATTGATTTTGTAAAGTTCATTGTCACACAGGTTTTTAATACCCCAACACATCATCAACACTAAAATAACCCTTAATTTACTGCTATACCATACTTAACAATCAATATCTAACAATTCTGATTACAGAGGAGGGCAAGGCGGAGAAATGCTCTGTCAAGGAAAGTTGGGTGGGGTGAGGTGGAGGTTTTACACCTGGATGGGAAAACTGTGTTAGAAAGTCACAGAGGAGCCATTAGTGTAGGCCATTAGTGTAGGTTGGATGACAGGTTTCCTCATATTTTCCAATGCTTTGTTTCTGTCTCACAAAGAAGAATTTTGTTTACTCAAAGAACTGCAAAACTGGGAATGAATATTTCCTTGTTAAGCGAGGGTTAGTAAACTTTATTTTATTTACTGTGTTTTATTCAGATTTCTTTAAAATGTATGTATCAAGTAAGCAGCAAACAGATTAAACACAGTCCCCTACACCTGCTCAATAATCCTGTTTTTAAATAAAAATAAATATGATATCATCTAGGTTACAGCTGTAGCATAATGTAGCATAAGTGAATGGATAGAATAAATTCTACAAGTGCTCTTTCTTTCTTTCTTTGTAGGACCTCCAACAAACATCTGCTGGGCTAGAAAACAACACATCTTCCTCCAAACACCCAGTGGTCAGCTGGACTGCCACGTACAAACTGACGTCCTCAAGCACAGAGAGGACCTTAACTTCTTCATGGACTCTCAACTTTAACCAGACACATGGAAATTCAGTAAACTCTAGTCAAATGCAATCCAGAGCAGTATCATCAGGCAACATAACACCTCCCAGCAAACTGCACACTGCTACCACATCGACCAAGCCGTCACCTGTACACACACAAGTTAGCACAAGTCACAAGTCACCAAGAAGGACAGAAGTCTCCAGTCAATCATCAACTTCCACAACATCAGCCAGTACAGTGACTCGTCAGTCAACATCGAGCACAGCAACACTAACCCAATCACAAACTGTAACTTCTGTCCCTAAAACAACCTTAGAAAATAATGAAGACCCCAGAAACTCTCCAAGTGATGCATCGCCTACCAGCAAACACATCCTTCAATCATCACCAAGAAGCCAAACAACATCCACCATGACACCAGTCAGCTCATCAGCAAATGATGCAGCCAGCCAATCATCAAGCACATCATCGTCAAAAAACTTTATGGAAAGCACAAGTGTGTTACTAATGAGCAACTTAAGAACCCCTGTGAGAGAAGCAGGAAATCATGCCATCCAATCACTGTCATCGACCACTGCAACCAGGCAATCATCAACCCCAAGTCAATCACCAGCAGCCACAATAAAAGACAGCCAATTACTAATTTCTAGTTATTTACCCACAAATACAATACCATCCAGTCAGTCAACAACTAGGAATTCCCAAACAACCACAACGGAATCTTTCCAATCACAAACATCAACTACACCAGTCAATCTGTCACCAACAAACAAAACACCCACAAGCCAATCACCAACTACTAGAAAACCAGTAAAGCAAACACCAACTGCTACAACACCAATTAGCCAGACATCAGTGTGGACAACACCAACCAGTGAACCATCAAGAAGCACTGCACTAGTGAGCCAATCAGATAAAACCACAGCATCAGTCAACAAACCATCAAGAGCAACAGTACCAGTCAGCCAATCACCACATATCAATAAACCTCCAATCCTAAAACCTATTCTAAAAACGTTTTCTGACCATCCAGCAGGTGGCACAATGAAAACGTATCAATCGTCCTCAACCTCAACACAGCAAAGCCCAACAACAGTCATGGGAGGTTTAAACCAGTCATCACACAAACTCACACACAGTCAATCATCCTCGTCTGTATTTCCTGAACATCCGTCCAAGACCACCTCGCAAACTCCGATCAGCTCGTCGAACAACTCACAATCTTCAAACTACACCTCATCCAGTGAGACAATGTCTGCAGAGGAGCAACAAGTAGATACACTGCTTCTCAACAAACAGGGAAAGGAAGTCGTGAAGATGTCTTTGCGCAGGGGTTCAGGTGAGTTTAAAACTATTAATATGCAGGATAAATTATTGCTGAAATGTGGTTTAATCAATCATCATTGATACAGATACGATGGAGAACTTCTTTCAGTAGTTAAAACTATGCAGTACAGAATTAACTGTTTTAATATTAGTTTGTTTTAGAAATTGAATGTTTACATATGTTTTCTTTAGGTTGTTATTTTTAGTATCCGCTACCATGATAGTTCATAAACTTCTTGTAGGGGGTAAATGCATATTCCATTAGAAGTGTAGCCAAATAGAGTTTATAAGATACTGGCCTGAGGACATCATTCATCATCATTCATTCATTAAATCAACATCCTTTAAGGTCTGAAATTTAGCACTTTCCTTTGTAGCTGACCATCAATGGGCAATTTGTAAGAGGTCACGTAAAAATGATTAATGGATAAGCTCTCAGTTTAAATCTACAAACTCCTCTCTTTGTGGTTTTGGATAACATGTCTGACTCAATTTGCACAATAACCCAAAGGTAAGTAAATAAGTCAGTTCATTTTTAAGTGTACGACAATTGAACCCTTTGTTTTTTGGATGAACAGCAGGGAAGTAGCTTTTATATATCATCCCGTTTCCCCTCCACCCCTACCCATAAACCTCATTATCGACCCGTACCTGTGTGTGTGGGACATGGCTGAGTGGGCAGACAACCTGTAAGCCCACTGAGCAGATGGTGTTACTGCAGGATAGGGAGCCATGGTTTGGTGTTTGGTGGTGCGTTCACTGACTGGAACATTTGGTAGAGCTCCACGACCTGACAGATGAGACAGATGGCAACTTCTGCTTAAAGATGAGACTTGATGATTTGCAAAGTGGGTCATCTGAGTCAGTGGTTTCCAGCGTAAATTAGTAGGTTGTAGTGGATCCTAAATAGCAAATGCTGGTAAATGCAACTTTACAAGATATTTGAGGAACCATTTTTTCATCAAATTGTTAAAAAAAAAAAAACGGTTTTAGTTGAATTTCCAATATTAATTAACACAGATCAAAAATCTTCATTATGTCTCAACTTGAAGATATCTACATACATTATATCATGGTGTGTGGTGGTCTTTGACAGTTGTTCTTATCCTAACAGACTCATGCACATTTCCCTGCCTGAATGGAGGACAATGTGTTCAGTCTGAGTCTTGTGACTGCAGTTTGTATCAGGCCACGGGGCGAAGATGTCAGACAGGTGAATCCCCGCATGAGAGGTTCTTCTTTTCTCAAGAAAGGACAAGAACAATGTCTGTCATTTGGTTGTTGATAAACCAGTGAGATGAGAAATGTCTCCCTTTTTGTCCATGTCTTCCTTTTTAGTCCCAAACCCAGGATTTGAAAGGGAGATGACCTGCAGGTCCTGGGCTCAGTACAACTTTGAGACCTTTGATGGCCTTTACTACTTCTTCCCTGGCCGTTGCACGTACACACTGCTGAAGGACTGTGAGGACACTAGCCAGGCCAACGTCGTTGTTCAAGTCAGTCTTCAATATCAGAAAAAAACTATACCTTGTTGAACAAAGCTGCACTGAGGGTCTCATTTCAATGTCTGTTTCAGTGCAGTTGAGGAAAGGTTGAACTCCTGCTCCAAAAATGTGAAACCATCTTAGCCTGAGGAAAAGAATTGCTCTAAAGATTAGTGAAAACTATTTGGTTATTAGAGTCAATTACCATCAAATACTGCAATTATCTACTATGCTTAGCTTCTGCAACAGACTGGGACTTTGTTCCTCTGAAAACAGGCACTATCTTTTGGAGAAAAACTGAAACAAAAAGTTTTTTAATTTTTTTAATTTATGAAGCCTAACCAACATTCTCCTCCAGAATTCTTTTTAAAACCAACTGAGGTTTGAGGTTTACTTATAGGGTCGATGTTATATTCAATAGTTTATTAAAACTTTTTTCTCCTTTCTTCCTTAATTTGATCTTAATTTGATCACCAGGCATTACGTTTATTTACAGCTGTGTAAAAAATTCTCTTGACAAAAAAGATGACTTAATGAAGAGTCTTTAAATAGATAGATAGATAGAACTGTATAATACCATGATAATGATCACAAAAATCAAAGCAAATTGTTTTGTCTTTCTGTAGGACAAAGGGATAAAATTGTTTTGTCTTTCTGTAGGACAAAGAGATACAATATACAATATACAATATACAAATAGATACAAATAGAACGGCTTTGTTCCAAGATCCTGGATTAACTGATTCAATTCCACTGTGAAAAGTGAAGCTTATAGAAATCTGTATGGTTATAAATATTAAATGCCAATAATACAAGGTGTATTACATTTTTTTTAGCATTTAATTGGCTCTTTAATTCCCCTTTCATGTTGGGTGTTCCTGTCTGCAGGTCCATAATGATCCAGAATGTGGTTCTACTCCCTACACTTGCCAACGATCTGTCAGCCTCTTCCTCCCATGGGAGGGAGAGGTCAGGCTTTACTCAAACAATGTGACCTTTAAAGGCCAAAGGTTTGTGATGGAAAACTCGGAAATAGTTTTATTTACAAATGAATCTACTCTATACACATTATGTGTGTTAATTGAAAGATGACTTAATGTGTAAAGTCAGTTATTTTGTCTCTGGCGGCAGATTGCAGCTGCCTCATCACATCCATGACCTGCAGCTGGAGCAAATCTCACAGTACGTTCTAGTGACACAGCATCAAGGCTTCACACTGGCCTGGGACGGAGGCAGCGGTTCTGTCTACATCAAGCTCAGCCCAGAGTTTGTGGGCAGAACCTGTGGCATGTGTGGAAATTTCAATGCAGACGTCCAAGATGACCTGAAGACGAGCTATGGTATGATCTTTTTTTTGTCCATATTCCAAAGCTCTCAAGACAATTAGAATAAAGTAGTATATATTCCCTCTAACATGATGTTCACATTTAGCTGTTGTTGTTTTTATAACAATACAAATAACAATATGTACAACATATCCTCACAATATAAAGTATATCTAGCACCACTGACAAAAACAAATCTCTCTCTCTCTATTTTTTTACAATATGCGATAAATCATTAAAACACCCAATAATTTAGCCTTCTCTATGAACTGTTTGACAAGAAAATACCTCTTACTAACAACGTTGTGCTCCACCTAAAAGAGTAATTTCAAAGGACTTTGTTGTGTACGTAATTTTAGGTCATTTTTTATGTTAAATCAGAAATTATAAAGTAAATACAAATACTGCTGGATGTAAGTTAAACCTCTTGTTTTTTAAACTCTCTGTCTTCTGTCCAACCAAGGTGTGCTGACAAATGAAATTGAACTGTTTGGTAATAGCTGGCTGGAGACGGAGCCACACCAGTCCCAGTGTTCCACGGTGCCCCCTGGATTTTCTTCACCCTGCTCTGCAGTTTCTGCTCAAGTTTTACTGGTAAAGTGATTGAAAATGACTTCTTATAACATAAGACATTCTCTAAATACATTTACCAAAGTGTAAATCCTTTTTCAAACATGTGAGCTTTAATAGAAAAACACATTTGTATTGTTGCAGAAGGTAAAAGAAGTATGTGCAATGCTGCTGGATCCACCCTTTCAGAGCTGCCATGACTTTGTCAGTCCACTGTCCTACATGGCCAGCTGCTCTAATGACCTGTGCATGTAAGATTCATTTGAACTCTTCCTCATTTTTTTTTTTTAAAGTATGACTTGTTTGCATTTTTTTTTACTTCCCTGACTCAGTGTCCTCAACTACAGAGGAGACGGTGAGCACTCAGTGGCCTCTCATTTGTCTATCTCAGTGGCTCAGGTCCATGATCCTTAAAATGCCTTCTCTCTGAAGTGAAACATTAGCCTCAGCAATCTGCTTCAACAACTCAGGCTGTAGCACCAAAGTCGAGAGATTCTTGTGTTGAGAAACAAATTTACCTTATCAGATCACCTGGACTGGGCACATTTACTGACTGAGTCACACAAGAGTTTTTTCAAGGAACAGTTTTCACCTTTCACAGAACCCAAGTTTATTCATCAGCAGATAAGATGTCCAGCTGTTCAGTGTTTACTCTGGTCACCTCTAGTGTGTCTGGCCTAGAAAATACAAAGCGGCCCAGCTCATGTCATTGTGTTCCTCTTTATTTGTTACTCTGTTAAGGTCGAATCCCAGTGGTGATGCTGTCTGCCAGGTGTTTACTGAGTACGCCCGGGCCTGTGCCCACGCTGACCACACACTGCACGACTGGAGGCATCACATTCCTCAGTGTGGTAAGTTCCTCCAGTCTTTTTGATAAAACTTTGTCCCACAGCAGTTAAAAGCCTGTTGCTCTGATTAGATCCTCGTTTCTCATACAAGACTTTTAGCATTATTGCAAACAAAATTGTCTCAGATTCCACTTGGCAAACTTGCTCAGTGCCTCTGAGACCAGTCTTAGGACCTATTCTATTCTTGCCCTGTCTCCTTTCTCTGGGTCAGACAATCAGGACAATATGAGATGGTAAGAGGGCCCAAAGATTCGTTTAAAAACATGCTTTTTATTAGACTGAGGTCAGGTGTCTTTAAGCGGTTACAGTCATGCTTCACATGTCCTTTTCTGCACTTGAGGTTCTCACATTTATGTTTTACTTTCATATTTGTGACCAGAGAAGCAGTGTCCTGCTGGTCTACAGTACAGAGAGTGCATCAGCTGCTGTCCTGACTCCTGCAGCCTGGAGCGAACATGTATAGACAGTAAGCTGACCTGCTTAGATGGCTGCTACTGCCCAGATGGTTCGTTCACAACTTCATATTTCACAGCATATCTTAATTAAATATTTGACCGAGATCACAACTCCAGATATTATGAAAGTGTTGTTCTTTCACAGGCCTAATCTATGAGGATGGAAGGTGCGTAACGCCCTCTGACTGTCCTTGTGAGTACCATGGGATGTTTTATCCCTCTGGACAAACTTTGCAGGAGGAATGCAACAACTGGTGAGCAGCTTTTAATCTTTGTTGTCTATAAAATGCTCATTTTCTTCCTATTACCCCTAAACCCATTGTCACAATGTCTTTGGACCTTAAGTAAACCCCAACGGCACACACACACACCGGCAGGGCTCATGCAATCCTTTTAATCTCCTCTGATCTGACCACCTGAGTGTGTCCAGTTTCTGTCAGTAAACTCGCTCATTAGCTGGAGCCTTGCAGTTCCCCAGAGCCACCTGTGAATGTTTCTGTCTTTTTCTTTTAGTACATGTGTCGGTGGAATGTGGAACTGTACTGACCACAGCTGCCCAGGTTTGTGCACAAAAAACATTTTACTTTTTTGGACATACCTGGAAATTAGAGCTGAAAAGTTATATGTATATATGGTTCAGCGGGAATTATTGTGAAATAAAACATTTTTTTTATTTGAATAAGCAAGAAAAATATTGGTCTTTTTCACCTCAGGAGAGTGCTCTGTTACTGGGGACATGTATTTCCAGTCCTTTGACGGACGGCTCTTCACCTTCCCTGCAACATGTCAGTACGTTCTTGCCAAGAGTCGAAACTCAGGAAGGTTCACAATCACCATCCAGAATTCCCCCTGTGGAGCAGTGAGTTAGATTTAATAACAGATTTCAACTGTTTTTCAACCTTCATGCTTCTTCTTCCTGAGCAGCTTCATACATTAATGCATTTGTGGTTGTTTTGCAGATTAAATCATAATTTATGTGTTTTGTAATTCTTGTTGCGTTTTGGTCATTTGATCTACACCCATGCCAGGAATCAAACGTATTGTGTCACACTCAGTGGCAAGACAACACACAGGCTCCTCTTCTTCTTTCTCTCTCCAAATCTAAACCAGAGATGTAAGATATACTGTAAGATGTCCCACTCATCAGAGCGGAGTCCTCTGACAGCCAAGTGAACAGAATGACCTTATCTGGCTGGACTGACTGACAGACGGAGCTGTAGCGGCTTTATAGTTAAGCTACAGGTGAAGAGAGGCTCAGGAGGGGAGGAAGACGTGAACAGAGGGAGGTTATGTGAAAAGAGGAGAAGAGTGATGGGAAGAGTTGAGGTGGAGGTGGAGGTGGTCGATGGGGTGGGTTGGTGGGTGCCAGACACTTTGCAGGTGCAGGGTTCTGTCACTTATGAAAGAAACCTATTCACAGAGATGGGTCAATTACTGTCAGAGATGAGGCAGAGGAAACAGCTATAGTTTAAGAAAAGTGATGGACTTGAGTTCACATGTGAAATGTGTTTCATGTTTTTAGATCTTAGCTTTAAGTACATCATTGTGTTTTTGGTTCTAAATTTTTTATATTAGCAAATTCCTGTTGGATCTGAATTCATTAAAACAAACAAGAAACTGCAAAACCCCATTTGATGATCCTTCGCACAACTAACTGAGTTCATCCAGGACATTTCTTTAATGACTGTTTATTTTATTTAATTACTTTTTCTTGTAAACACAATCTTTTCCCCCCTCTACTTTTGCAGCACAGTGCTTCAGCAAACACACACAAGCTCTTGTCAGTCCAGAATGTCTTTGTATTTCCCTCGTAATTCATGCTTCTCATCATTTGACTCTTTCTGTGAGTCCTGTTGTCTGGGAAGAGAGTATGATTTTTATCGAGCCATCTCCCCTCATTTTCAGAATCTAGATGGGGCCTGTATCCAATCAGTCAACCTGGTGGTTGATGAGGATCCGAAATCCGAGATAACACTGAGTCATGTTGGGGAGGTCTTCATGGCCGGACAGTACCGCATCTCTCTGCCCTATTCTGACGGTAAAAAGCTCTTATCAACTACTACCATTGTTCACTTTAAGTGCCCCACTTCTTCTCATCACTCTGCAGGTCATGGCTGAAACAGATTGAGTGACGGCTCCGCCGATGAACAAAAATCTTCCCAATACTTAATGCATTGTGTTCTACGCTAAATGTCTTTCCTCTGAGTATTCCTTCTTTTCACATCACTTTTCACGACTGTGTCACTCTTGTGATGTCTTCCACAACCTTTTGTATATTTTGTGCTGAGTGCTGTGTGAGAATGATCTGATATTTTGGTCCCTCGAGGGATTAAAAACAAACGCAGCAGTACAAGTCTGGTTTCACATACATGCACCTGTCAGTCATTCTGTTAACCAATCAGGTATTAGTTTTTATACAACTGCTGTTCAGGTAAAAAATGACAGCAAGAATACCTGTTATTCAACTTATTGTATTATTAGAATTGACACATCACTGAGTTTACCATCCAGTTTATCCCTTTTTACTTTAGAGTGACTATAATGTAAGATTTGTTAACAAAATGAAAATGTTGGAGGTCGTTAGTCAGTGTAATGACAATTGACATTAATAAAAAAAAGGAAAAAATTAGCCTCCAAAAGAGGGTGGTACTTTTTGTTACATGGCACCTGTAACTATATTTTGAGCATGTTTATAGCCATAGAACGGCTTGAAGTTGTATTGTCACTTCTGAGTCCTGTTTACTGCCAGCAGGGTTACCCAGCTGTGTTAAGACCTGTGTTCTTTAACATTTTCTTAATGAAAGTTTGCAGACCAAAACCCAAGTTAATCCTCACCACCATGTCTGTATATCTACCCACAGACGTCTTCCTTGTCCAGGAGTTGTCCTCCATGTTCCTCCAGGTGAAGACAACATTTGGCCTGCGTCTGCAGTACAGCTGGAAGGACTTTCGTCTGTACTTGCAGGCAGATGAGCGTTGGAAGGATGACACCGTGGGGTTGTGCGGCACATTTAATGGAAACATTCAAGATGATTTCCTGTAAGTGTGTTTCGGCCGACCTGTAACCACCCTGTTAACACACCCTCCCATAATGAGAGTAGAGAGCATGCTACGGTTACGGAGGCAGAGAGGGAGGTGATGCTGAAAGGCTTTTCTCTCGTTTTCACACACACTTTGTCTGTAATTCACACTGGTCAAGCGGCTCCACATCAAAAGCCCTGATCTCTGGTCAGCTTTTTAAGGTGGACCAGATGAGCACCCAACTGAGCACACCACTTGAACAAAGGAATTTACTGTGAGTGGAATACGAACTGTGCTGCACCGTATCCTAATGGGCTGCTGTAAAGTGCGGATGTTGTCTAACAGCTGTAAATGGATATACATCACCGTCAGTGAGTCAAAGCTGCTGCAAAGCGAATTGAACTCACATTGAGAAATGACCTCTGTTTAAAATGATCAGAGTTGATACTATATATTCGATATCGATGGGTTAAATTGGGGTTGTCGGGGGTCTTAAAATGAAGTTTTACACAGTTTAGAAAAGCATATTACCTGTTTTTTCTGGTGACTGTTTTAACAGTTTAAAAAAAGGTAATTTTGTTGAGGGTATTGAGAATCATCTTTATTATTAAGCAGTTAATTTTGCATCAACTCGTGCGTCCTCTGGCAGATCTCCATCAGGAATGATAGAGAGCACTCCTCAGCTCTTTGGAAATGCTTGGAGAGTCTCATCAGCCTGTTCAAACAGCTTGAGTTCACCTCAGCTTGACCCATGTGACACACATCAACAGGCCGGTCAGTTTCATCTCTGATGTTTTTAACACACTCAGAACTGTTAACTAAATATTCACGCACAACAGTCTTTTGTATTTTCTGGTTAAAACATTAAAAAAGGCAGGGGTCAAGACCTTTGACCTCTCCTGTGCTGTACGTACACTGTATGTCACCTGTCATGTGATGTCTCTCTGCTCAGTAACCTATGCCTCAGGGATGTGTGACATCTTGAACCAGGATCTGTTCTCTGCCTGTCATGAGTTCCTCAGTCCGGCACCTTTTCATCAGCAGTGTCGCTCTGACACCTGTAAGTGCGGGACACCATGCCTTTGCTCTGCGTTGGCCCATTACGCTCGAAACTGTCGCAGATTTTCTGTGATCGTCGACTTTCGATCTCATGTGTCCGACTGTGGTGAGTAATTACTGAAAAGCTAAAGATTTGACAAATGGACTTGGAGGTTATAGACAGACAGACTTTATTGATCCCAAGATGGAAAATTAAAGTGTTTTAAAAATGTTTTATGTTAATTTATTTATAGATTTTTCTATCATATTTGTAAAAACAATGACTTTTTATTAGATTATTATGTATTTGATTTTTAATCACAAAGCACTGATCAGTTATATGCTTTTTTGTTTTAAATATATATATGCCATTATTGTTGTTCATCTTTATGTAACATCAACGTAACATTTCTAAATTTGACATATTTTGCCACAAAGCTAAATATTTGTGGTGCTGGGTGTTGGTATTGATTTGTCCTTTAAACCAAAAACATATGTGTTCTACTCTAGCTGCTGCTTTTCCTTATGCACAAACTCAATGGCTGGGAATATGAATGTCAGGAAATGTAAAAAAATATATATCAGTGTTGCTGCAGCAACCTTTAAGAAGTTAGACGCCAGACAGTGATGTAATGTTATGAAGAGGATGTAAGAGACTTCCTGTGGCATTGGTTATCATTATATATTAAACAGGTTATTTTTTACACTTAGATCATGAAAAAGTCACTGTCTGTCACTGCAGCCGTCACCTGTCCTGCCAACATGCAGTATGGCACCTGTGTATCATCCTGCCAGAGCCGCTGCTCTGCCCTCTCCGTGCCGCAGCACTGTGGGGAGGAGTGTGAGGAGGGCTGCGTCTGCCCTCAGGGATCATTCTACAGCCACCGCACACACACCTGTGTGCAAAGGTAAAGCTAGGGAGAATTAGTTTTAAGAATACGTTAAAAGCCAAAACAAACACATATAAAACTAAAGCTTTTATCAGCATTAGCAGATTATAAATGTAACACTATTGTTTTTTATTTAATATTGTACTTTTATGCATTCAATCTTTTGTTCAAATAATTAGTTTAATTAGTTATTTTAGTACCATATTTACATTACATTACAAAGGAAGGATTGAATGTGTTCCTGCTCAGTGTGGGAGCAGCTCCAGCTCTGACAGCCAGGCTGCTCTGTGAGGTTTTGAAGCTTGTAAGGCACTGGACCAAACAAATCCTCTCAAAGTGATATTTGTATCTGCTGTGAAGTTTAGGTCAGCCTTTAAGTGGAGGGAGCTGTATTTTTCCTGCAGTCATGACAGACAGAGCCAGACGGAGGGCCTTGGTAATTGTGCTCCCCCTTTCAGGCTGCTGCGCCCGAGAAGATGTGACGCTTAATTCCTCTTAAATGTCCCAGGTTTTTTACATCCTAGTGTGGTGCTGTGCCTTACTTACTATGTGATAGGGTTACATCGAGGAATTCACTGTGAAACCCCCCTTTCATTCCCATTCGGGCTGCAAACGACGCAGATATCTGATAACCAGTGAGAAAGAATTTGTAGTACAGAGAGCGATGTGTGCCACTGGCCTATATGTTACAAAGTCTCTCAGCCTTTTTATGGGATTATGTTATTAAAATGTTTTGCGTTATCAGTTCATCTTTAAAAAAATATTCATTTTCTACTTAATTATAACCTCTTTACCTGTGTCATATCTACTAAGACTTTTACTCCTACTGAGTCACTAATAAAAGAAATCTTCACTTTTAAAACCTTTTAGGAGTGAATGTCCATGCAGCTTCCTGGGAGCAGATTATGAACCAGGAGATGTGATCATGACATCAGCTGGTGTTCAGTAAGATAAAACTCCATCCTTAATCTTTCTTTATTAATTGGATAATTACTTGTGTGATCACTGCTGCATTTCATTTCATTACCCCAGCTTCTCTCTGTTTCCTCCGACAGACTCTGTCTGAATGGTAAACTTGTGTCTCAGACCACGAACAGTGGTAGGTAGCATCACTCATTGTGAATAAAACCATCAAATTGAAACCATCTAAAAGAAGAGTTTAGATTCTTTGTTTGCTCTGTTTTTCCTTGTTAAAGGGTTGCTTCTTTTTTTTTAAAGAATGATCTTTACGTCAATTTTAAAACTGTGAAGTCCACTTACATAGCAAAACTTTATAGTTTTAACAATAAATATTAATATTATTTTTTAACAAAAAGTTAAAAATCAAAATCTAGAAAACATCATAAGCAGCATATTCTTCACTTGTGATTCCCTCTTTGTCTCCTGCAGACAGGTTGTGTCCAGCTGGTCAGCTTTACCAGGACTGCTCAGAGGGAGAAGACGGCTTCCTGTCAGGAAGGGGCGTGGCCTGTGAGCTCACCTGTGAGTCGTATCTGCTCAACCTCACCTGCTCAACACATGAGCCCTGTGTAGCTGGATGTACCTGCCCCCCTGGGTGAGTGGCAGTTTTTTATGCTGATTTTAAAGTATGACTGCTCTTATGAAAACCTCTCTATGCATGACCTGTTCCTTAGTAGATGTTTAATCAGGCAATAATAAAAAAACAAACTTCAAAAACAGTTTGTATCATCTGCAGTCAAACAAAAACAGTGCAGAGATTAGCGTCATCCGATTCCTCTAATCTCATTGGCTTTTAACCTAAAAAGTGGGTTAAGTGGTTTCAATTTGTAACCACAACCACAGGTGACACCCTGATTATGGAATTAACAAACGGGACGCTTTGGACACCCAAGATTTTGACACTTTATGTGAGCAGATTATATATCTTTATGTAATGCTGGTGCACCAGAACTGACAGCAGTCATCTCCTGTTTCACTGTATGAATGCTTGTTCTCCATCAATAACTCTTATGTTATTAAAAAAAAACTTTAAAAGGTCCCCTTATAACAGAGAAAAAAGCTTTGATTTGAAGATTAAATTTGACAAATTATAAAAAGAATTTAGTGAAACAACAACAAACAGTAAAAGTCTGAATGTTGTTTGATAAGGCAACTGTATCACTGTTTCAAAGTGCTCCTATTGCAGCAATCCCTTTTCCAAGATTTAGGAGAATGTGAGAAAGTGTTAAGATGATTTAAGACAAGACTCTGACTAATCTGAGGGGATTTAATATCTAGCCAAGACCATTAATAAAAACCATAGCAATGACACTACCAAATTGAGTGTCATTGCGTTGAAGGTTAGTTCAAAAGAGGTGGAGATGGTTTCGTCTCCATTCTTTTTGTAACCATAATGAAATTATGTTGGATTTAAATTGTATCATATGTGGTGTGAATTGAAAATGTAATTAAATGTATGAATGGTTACAATTAAAGGATGGAATGCTAATAATTTACTGAAACATACTCCTAGACCAAAGTAACTTGTTCTATAAATAGCACCAGTTTGACGTTTCCGTGCTGTTGCTCAGTGCTGTGTATCATCTGACATCATAAAATGTGACTCAGAGAATAGAAGGTCAGTGGGGGCAGAGATCCTTCATGGTACAATCCACCCTGTCTCCCCTACAAAGATCTCACTGGTGTGATTTATTTAATCCCTGTTACCAAATTAAGCAGCGTGACCTTTTGCGATGACGAGCTCCATGTAAATTCCGGAGCTGATCTCCAGAATGCCTGGCCGTGCTTAATAACCGCCTGAAACTTAATAGTTTATGAAGTAATTCTGTGGTGAACATAAGCACAAAGGAGTCTCATTTATCCTGCTTCACCCCACCAATAACCCAGAGCAACATTAGTGTTAGTGACTGCCACATGGTTCAGTGGACGATCTTTTGAAAAGGTCACATGGGGAGCGTCAGTAGCAGTAAAGTAAAGGCAACTGTCTGTCTGTACTCTCTTGGTTTCTGACGGTTTCTGGTATTTGACCTCAGAGTGGCTGAATACTGTCTCACTGTGTTGTTTGCTGTGCAAAGGCTGAGGTTTCTGGGAATGAACTCAGGACAACATTGTACAATAGGTGGCCGAGGGGTGGTTTTCTTAAGCCACCTCCTCTGAAGAGTGATGGTTTCACTATTCAAACCATCCATCTTCTCATATACACATTGAAGATGTATACGGTTGGACTCCATCTAGTTCTACTGTAATTCTCTTCTTGTAAATCAGTGTAACTCAGTCTGTGATAAATTGGTGTCAGAGTTCTGTATTGCGTCTCTGAGACATATTAAGTAAAACATAGAAAACAACCCTTACAATGTTCAAAAGAAACAAACGTGGCCTGTGTAGTCATTCAACTTTGCTCTTCCTACCTGATGTCTTATTTAACCTGGTCTTTAACAATCCTGCATAACTTGGCATGAATCCAGGTGAACTGCAGGATGTGTGGAAGCATCTGTGTTGCCTGGTCACGAGTCACCACATCACAGCACATCCAGCTTCCTCCACACTCACTTTTACATCAGTGGATGAGACTGAGGTCACAATGATAGCTGTGTTTATGAGATGTTTTGTTCGTGATGAGCACAGTGGTCGGGAGAAAGAGTGATTGTTGAATCTTTGATCAGAGTAATCCATACCGCAGCTTGGCGGGGGGATAAAGGCAGCTGTTAACACCGTTTTATCTGGGGTGTAACTCTACTCAGGTGAACCTGGAGTTTTATGGCAGAGCCATTCAGGATGTCACTCCATTGTCCGCAGCCTTGCCAGATGACAGAGCTCGGCCCTGAATATTACAAGATACTTATCTGCTTTGTGTCACGGAGTGGGAAGCAAATGGAGGGTCCAGTCAAAGACTTTTTTCTTTCTCTCTGTCTCTGAGAATCCTAATTGTCTGGTTTTCTCATGTACCAACAAGTGAGACAGTTGTCCTTACCAGTCACTCACTGACATCAAACCATCAGACCTCTCTGCAAGTATCTTTCTAGTACCTTATTGACAGGGTTTTGATTTAAACATTTGCGTCTCTGTAGTGTCTGCCTACTTCAAACAGTAGATGGTTTTGAATCTCCCTATATGTCTGGAAATATGTCTCAGGATGTGACATTGCAAAGGAGGTCATTGTAAAAGTTCAGCCCCTCCATCCCCCCAGCCCACTCTCCACTGGGTATCTGCTTTTCTCTTATGCGACTGCCAGCCTTTTATCTCTTAAAATGCCAACAGTAATCTGCTCATTCAGCACAGTGCTAAAAGGACACAGCCTTTATTATATAAACATTTAAGGCACTTGAAGTGGGTTGTCATCTGTAACATGGAGGAGACGATCAGTAAGACTATACAACTTTGGTTAGTCCACATATAACTCTTCACTTGGAGTTTCTTCTCGTTCTGGTTCTGGTTCTGACCAGCTCAACTATAACTTCCGTATACAGTTGGAATGCAGTTTATCGTCTGCTGTCCTGCCTTTTTACCATACCTGACAGGATGTCATATACTGCACATGGAAACAAAAGAAAAAAAACTTGATTGAGCATTCGCGTGTCACAAGTCATTCTCACGTCTTTACCATGTGGTGGTCAAAGCATTCAGTAGTTCATTACAATTAAGAGGAAAACAAACAGGTCTGAACCACAGCTAAAGTGTTTTTATATGTTTGATAACCAGTCTGCTGAGACATGGGGACGAGTGCTTCGAACCGGTGGCCTGCCCTTGTTTATGGAAGGGAAAGGAGTATTACCCAGGAGACAGGGTCTCCGCTCCCTGCCATGACTGGTATGTTTATCATTAACTGTTTTTTTCTGTATTCTGCCTTTGTGATCTCTGACTACATTAATACAAATATACAGATAAAGTCAGAAAAGTTTAGATGTCAAACATCAGATTCTTGCCTTTGTGCAATGTGTTTTGAGAATGTGACAATCTGATATCTGTAAATCTCTGTTATAACTGTGCCTGGAAACAGAGAGAGGCCTTGTTTGACTCAATCATTCACTTTTTCTCTTCATGACTGCTGAAAGGAAACACTCCTGCAGTCATTTCAGTCTTTTTCTTATCGTTCCAATTCTTCTCCAGGCAATAAACAGAGAAGAAGCTCCAGATGACAGCTGTAATAGCGAGAAGTCATTCAGTCTTTTGACAGTTCCCCGGCCAATTATCTGCCTCATGTAAACCTGAGGCACATGATCAAAGAAGGTCATTAAAAGTGTAAAAGTGGGAACACATTGATAGTAAATTGCTCAGACTTTGCTCTCTTTGTAGTGTCTGCCAACACGGGACGTTCCAATGTGTGTTTCGACCCTGTCCGTCCATGTGTACGGCTTACGGTGATCGCCACTACAGGACGTTCGACGGCCTCTTATTTGACTACGTTGGAGCATGCAAAGTCTTTCTTGTGAAGGTATTGTAAGTATTTAAATATAGTCAAAGAACTGAAAGACTCATTGTTGTGGAAGTGAATATGTTTTCTTTAATTTTGTTCAGGTGTCATTCTGGTTAATAAAAGATGGTGTGTGTGAGGTTGTGTTGCATTTCATTCATCAGTATTTTTTTAAAAGACACCATCTGCAATGTATTATATTAAATCCACAATTTTGAATAATTGTTTATAAAAAATTGATTATAATACATTCTGGTGAAGTGGTGTCTTAGGATGTTAAGGAGTAGGAAAGTGGACAGAATTGGTTTCTTGAAATGTTGTTCATAACATTTTAGTGAAGTTATTCTTATTTGTAATGTTTTCTCTGACTATGTTCCCTCAGAGCAGTGAGGGTATGCCGCTCAGCGTTACAGCTGAGAACATCAACTGTTTTGAGAGTGGATTCATCTGCAGGAAATCACTGGTGGTCACTGTTGGACAGTCTTCTATAGCTATAGATGAAGACAATGGAAACCCTGTAAGAACTGATTTAAATATAATTCTAACATATGGCCATCTGTGTTAAGCTGTTGTTTAAATTCAAAATGGCATTTTTTCAAATGTAGAATCCATCGAGTGTGATTGACAAGAAGCACAGGATGTTCATCTGGCCAGCTGGATACTTTACAGTGATTCACTTCCCTGATGAGGACATCACTGTCCTCTGGGACCGTAAGACCACAGTCCATGTCCAGGTTGGACCTCGCTGGCAGGTTGGTTCTGCCTTCCTCCACTGTTAACAGTTAATTAATATTGTATATATATTTATATATATTGTGAACATTAATCTTTATTGACAATTGAGACCTAAATCTGTATCATTTGTAAAATTAGTATTTTGGAATATTTGCAATGTGCACAAATTATTGTTGTAAGAAAAAAAGATAACAAGTAAGTCAACACTAAAAAGACAGAAAATGTACTTATTATGACTTTGTTGTGGAGTCTCTTAAGTGTGATATAAATTTTAGAACAAACCTTTCTAGTAATAACGAACTCCTAATTGAAGTTTTCAGTTCATCTGAAGGTGGTTTGTCCATTTCACATGATGCAGCCCCCTCTAGTGGCGGTTAACCCAGTGAAGTCATCCTTCAGTATAGTTAATTCATTTTTGCAGACGGAAAATGACGGTGAGGTTCTGTGTTTTAACGACAATACTGTGTATAAATGAAAGATGTTTATAATGTGTTCAGGGGAAGCTGAGTGGTCTGTGTGGGAACTTTGACATGAAGACAGTAAACGAAATGCGGACGCCTGACAACATTGATTCTCCCACTTCCCAAGAGTTTGGCAGCAGCTGGACCGCAGCAGAGGTGACGTTTGTTTATCACTGACTGTTTCTTCTTGTTTAATCATCATTTTTCCTGCAACACAAATGGATGACATGTAGATACTGACAGAAATGCTGCATCAACAGCAACAATATAAAATGTGATTTGTTATACAAACCTTTTTTAAAATAAAGAAGTTAAATTAGTCTGTAGCTTTATTTTATTTTTATTTATTATATTTTATATATTATTTCTTTTTTTCATAGTACATGTAGTACGGATGCTAAAATCTCTTCTAAAACATGTAACCGGATGTTTCTGTACCTGTGTGTGTGTGTTTGTGTGTGTTCAGTGTGTAAACAGTGCAGACATCAGACATCCCTGCAGCCTCAGTCCACTCAGAGAACCCTTTGCAAAGCGACAGTGTGCAGTCCTGCTTAGTGAGGTCTTTCAGGCCTGCCACCTAGTGGTATGTTATTGACCAACACAAACCTCTATGTCCAGCTGGTTGCTCTGTGAATACAGTATTTCTAAGTCTATTTCCATGTTCAGGTGGATGTTACCTGGTTCTACATGAACTGCCTATCAGACACTTGTGCCTGCAGTCGAGGAGGTGACTGTGAGTGTTTCTGCACCAGTGTGGCAGCCTATGCCCAGCGCTGCTGTCATCAGGGCGTTCCTGTGGACTGGCGTTCTCCATCTCTTTGTCGTAAGTCAGGCAGCAGGGGTAAAGAGAGAAAAACAAAGACAAGTTTGGGTTACTTCTCTGATTCAAGATTGTTGACTTTGTCTTACTTTCACAAATGGAGACCATGACAAATCTGACACCTAATAGTTAAAAATACTTTATAGAGCACATTAAAACCTCTCCCTCTTCTCTCTGCAGCATATGACTGTGAATACTACAATAAAGGTATGATACTTACTAATACTTTCCCAGTTCTACTTTATCTTTATAGTCTGTATAGCTTGATTTCATTGACATATTTCATACTTTTGTCAATGGGTTGAAATAATGTTGGGCAAATCTCAGTTTGGTCCAGCTCAAAGAAACAGACCTTCAAATCATGTGCATGCCACTACATGACATGAGTACTGTACTAACTCATGAGTACTGTACTAACTCAGCCTCCTGTGTGTAGTCTTGGGTAAAGGCCCCTTCAGACTCATCCCATTCAGAGACCAGAGCACTGTGTTGGCAGCCAGCAGGTCCAGTGGTTCAGTGTTCTTTCAGCGGGGGAACATCACCAGCTCCAGCACAAGTGACATCATGTCTCATTTCATGATGACACCAGGTCTCAGCAGAGCAAGACCACACGGTGAGTTGTTTTGTACCAATACCAGATTGTTATTTCTTAACTGTTCAAACCAGATAACTTTTTAAAATTGTATTTATTTAGATACATTACGCCCCCCGTTACATCATGGATTTTTGAAATTTGAATTGAATGGGTTTTGCAAACAGCTCTCCAATACGGTTTTACCCAATTTTGATTTCTTGTGGTAAAGTTCACGTAAGCAGTAGTGTTGACTTCACAACTGTTTCCACAGCAGTGGCTGTTTTTGGATATGTCAAGATGGAGATAAAAAAAATACTTTTTAATGTTTATTTATTTTGTTTTTTATTTCACAGACACATCACGACTGTCCTTTGAGGCAGTGGACAGACCAAACTATTTCCTGTATGCAAGCCCTGATGGCCAGGTGAAGCTGGCCAAGTGGGAGGAGAGTGAAGCATTTTGGGACGGGGCCACCTTTGTACTCCACAGGAACACCTGGATTTTTGGCTACAGCTCACTGGAGTCCCATGCCAAGTCTGGATTTTTCCTGCACACGATGCTGCCTCGACTCCACCTGCTGAAATACAGACATACTGACAGTTTTCGCAAGGCCACACTGTTCAGACTGACAGGTCAGCATCATTCACACGACTTCCAATCACATGTGAATTTCCCCACTGTGGCACAAATAAGGGACTTCTTAACTTCTTAATCCGAATCCTTCTTCAGGTTCCAGTTCTGAGGCTCCACCACAACCTCTCTGTCAGTGGAGATATGAGTCCTGCATCAGTCCGTGCTTTAAGACCTGCAGTGACCCTTGGGCTGAAGCCTGCGTCAGCATCCCAGAGTGAGACATTTGACCTTGATTTGCCTTACTTTGATAACACCTGCACTTCTTTAGAACCACAATGCTATCGAAAGGAATTTCCTTAAATGTCATTCAACCACAATCCTTAAAATCCAATATTGAATTCACTCCTCTTATTTTAACAGAAGTTTACAAATGTTTGGATTAAATCTTCAAATTTTCTGTTCAATTTAAACTTGAAATGATGGGTATAGTATATTGCTACATTTAATTACTTTAAATTGTATTATAACTGTATTATATTATATATAGTATTTGATTTATTAATCATTATTTAATATTAATTTTAAATAATACATTAAAACATCTAGTTTTAGTGTGAAAACGCCACTATACTATATATCACAAGAGTATTTTTTATAGCATATTTTATTCATAGCCATGTGTACGTCTCTGTGCAGAGTGGAGGGCTGCATTCCTGTTTGTCCTCCACACATGGTCTTGGATGAGGTCACTCGGCGTTGTGTTCATGTTGAAGACTGTAAGTGTGTCTTGGTAGATTTAGGTCATTCATTTCTATTCTAAGTACTAGAACAATGATTACTGTTTTTATTGAAGTGTAGTGATATTATTGTATCTTCTGGTTTCAGGCATCAACATCCCTGTGGTATTAAAACCACCAACACCTTCTTCACCACAGTCGACGTCTGCAGTCACCTCTAGCACAGCCGCCTCCTCTCCTCTCTCCAGTACAGTCGTCTTGACCAAACCCTCCACAGCTCCACACACTGGTCCAATCACCAAGTTTACCTCCACTCTGCCTGTTGTTGTCAGCACACAAACCCCTTCCACAACTACGCCGACTGTCTCTGACAAGCTAACACAACCAGATACGACATCTTCGCCTCCATCTCCACAACTGTCAACAACACCGAGAACTGTAGCGCCTCCTGTCTGGACAGAGGTGGTAGAGCAGTCATCTACAGTAGAAGTGTCCACAGCTTCCTCCACTGTATCAGCGAGAACAAGACAAACGTCCACTATTAGCCCCTCTGACCGTAGCTCTCCCAGGACAAGCAGTGCTCCGCTCACCAGCACAACTTGGATCACCTCCACCACAAGACCTACAGATCAATGGAGGCCATTTATCACTACTACAGCAACAACCGTGCAGACAACAACACCCACAACAATCACCACCACATCCACAGAGCAGCCAGTCACTACCAGTGCTTCCCCTCGTCATGAAAACACAACAAAGGCTACAACACATTCACCAGCTGCAATCTTAACAACATCTGGTACGGCTGGTGTCTTAATCTCACATACAACCACCAGTCCCACAGACACCAGAACAAAGTTTCCCTCAGAGGGGAGATTAACTCAAACTACAACTGCACCAACGTCCCCAGACTGGTGGAACACAAATTTGACAACTGTGTCTCCTCTTCAGCCCGTGTCTTTAGTTGAAACAGAAACTGTGCCTTTGCCCTCAGCAACCTCAGCAAAAACCACCAAATCCTTTACTCCAGTCGCCCCATTCACTACCAGTAAAACAACTACACCTGTAAGGCCGACTGTGCCGCCTTCTACCTCAGATAAGATTCCATTTACCACCTCCACTAAACAGACTACATCAATTACATCCAAACCAGAGCTACCATCATCACCCCGACTGACTACAACTACTGCTACATCACGGAGAACAGTAAGACCAACAGAGGAAGCACATGTACCTGCAACTTCTGCTTCGGAAATTTCACCACACAGTGTCACCACCACCACAGCATCAACAACTGTAAGTCAGGAGAGAACAGACACAACCTCAAGTCACACTGAGAAAACCTCCTGGTCCACCATGGTGCCAACTACAAACAGCACCACTAAGACAACAATTTCAAGATCTTCAGTGTTTCCAGAAGTGTTCACCACGACCAAAGGTCTCCCTGTCACAACAGAATTGAGAGAAAGGCCTGAAGCTCATACAGAAACCACCAGAGAACCACACACACCTTCAACAGAAAGAATTACACATGCAACATCTACTACACCTTCTGAGCATTGGCGCACAACACCCCAGGTCACCACCTCTACTCCAGTTCACAGGCCAACAGTGACAATGAAAGAAGAGGAGGTGACTTCAACAGAGACAACCAAAGTACCCAAGCTTTCACATCCAACAACAGAGAAGACTGTGACTTCTGTGACATCACAGGCTTCCACTCACTACACCACCCACACTGAGACCTCCTCAGAAACCTCTGCTGTTGAAATTGTTGCGACCACTACCACGGCGTGGGTTATACCCCCAACAACTATACCCAGTGCACCAAAGACAACTCATACTACAGCAACTACAAGACCTTCATCAGGTGTTATCACTACAATCAGACCTGTTGTCATACAGCCAGTAACAGAGACCATACATCCTTTGACTGGCAGAGTGCAGATGTCAACGACAACTACAACCATCCCACCAACAACAACCACTTCAGCCATTCTGAAACCAACTTCTCCAGAGAGGGTCACCACCCGACTAGTGTCCACCATTAGAGCAACACCTTCAACGACTACCACAACTACCAAACCGACCACAACTCTTAGGACAACACCAAGTCTTCCTGTAACAACAAGAGTTACTCCAAGGACCCCAGTGACTGAGAGGTCAACCATCAAGCCTCTCACTACGAGGGTCACTGAAGCCACCAGGACCCCTGTAGTACCCACCAGATCAACCAGCCCTCAGCCTCCAACAGTCACACCCAGCCCTGGGACAACAACCGTGGCTGTCACGGTCCCTACATCTACAGTGTCGGTTACTACAACAAGCACAGCTGAACCTGCCGATGACATCACAACAGCTCCAGTCCTGACGACGGTACCAGCCGTAGTTCCGGTTCCCACTCTAACCACAGCTGCGTCATCAACTCCCACTCCCACTCATGCCAGCAGAGGGACTGTCTCATCTGTGAGACCAACAACATCCACAGACACTGACATGTCACCGTCCGCCTCACATCTGACAACACCCACACCTGAGGGAATCATCACCACCACCCATGAGCACAGAACACCGTCCTCCTCGACCATACCTGGAACAATGACCACCACTACCACCCGCATCACAGAACCGCATGGAGTGAATCACACCAGTCCTGATGCAACACTACCTTCAAAAACAACAACTTCTCATGCACTACCGGAAACCACCAGACACACAGACAAGGACACAACGTCCATACCTGTGGCTCCTACAGGAATCTGCTCTGTGGGTTCAGTAATATTTTGTTTTAATTTTGAATATCTCAAAATAATATGTAACTGAAAAAAAGAATTTCTGTTTCTAGTTTTTTTATATATATAATGTCATCTAGTACATGAAGGATAATATCCCTAAGACTGAATCCCTAAAACTTCATCTTTAACTCCTTTTGTTCTTTCATCCAGCCTCCGTATGCAGAGATTGTTGATGAGTGCACAAAATACATCTGTGTCAACAACCAGCTCATCCTGTTCAACAAATCTCAGAGCTGTCCCTTCACCTCTGAACCTCCAAACTGTGGTCTGCTCGGCCTAGCTGTCCAAGTCAACGGAGACAAGTGCTGCCCTCAGTGGGACTGTCCATGTCAGAGAAATATATTTGTCTTTAAAGGTTTTTTGGTGACATGTACTGTGTGATGATTGCTGCAGACATTTTTTTAATCATCTTTCTTGATGATTCATGTTCATCTTTCGTGTTGCAGGTCGCTGCTCCATGTTTCCAGACCTAAGCTTGATCACATTCGATGGAAACAGTGTTGCTGTTTATAAAGCTGCCTCATATATAGTGATGCAACTTCCTAATGAGACCATCAGTGTTCTGGTTCAGGAGTGTCCTGCTGACTCTGAATCACCAGTTAGTAATGCATTTAATCAATGCTAATGTACGTCAGTGGGTGGAATTAGCAGTAATATTTTATCTTTTCTCTGCAGATCATCTGGAATTTCACCAACCTTTGTCTGGTGGCACTGAACATTACACACCAGTCCAACAGCATTGTGATTAACAGGCTGCAGAGAAGAGTAAGAAAGGCTGCTTATTGTTTCTTTTTTTAACATATTCACTGACTGAACATATTTGTCTGTGAAATCATCTTTCTGTGTTTTTTTTTTTCCAGCTCTATGTTAATACCCGCTACGCCAAACCACGCTTCAAAAAATATGGTTTTGAAATCTATGACACCGGCAACATGTACCTGATCCGTAGCCCGGCCGGCCTCGGGTTGCAGTGGTATCACAGCACCGGCATGATGATCATAGAGACTGACAACTACAGCAATAAGCTCTCCACCCTGGGCCTCTGTGGTAACAGTTACTGCAGTATCATTTCTGGAAATTGTCATTGTGTTAGTTTTTGTTGTAAACAAACAGAGCAGAAACACTGAACACAGACAAGATATTTCTTTTAACCCACAGGTGTCTGTGACGGCGACCCATCCAATGACCTGACTTTGGCTAACGGCACCACGGTGGGTGTAGGCGAGGACCCGGCCCTTTTTATCGATAGCTGGCAAGTTCCCAACACCACCAGTTACATCAGCCAGAGCCGCCGCCGTGAGCTGAACTGCTCCACCAGTGACTGTTCCAGCTGCATGGCCATGCTGCAGAACCCAGCCTTCCACCCCTGCCACGAGTTTGTAGGTTTATTTAAATCAGTCTGTGTCATGTCTTCTTTGGGGTTTCTAGTAATGATGTTGTTAGAGTAAGAATAGAGCAGAAACATTCGGCTGGGGAGAAGAAGGACTAGATGGAAAAATATAAAATACATGAAATTTTAAAGATTTATGAAACCCCCTTTTTTTGCTTTCTTCTCTGTTTTAGTGAATGTCATAACACTATACACTGTATGAAACGTTTCATCTGTTCGACTTGGTCTGTTTGGTTTTTCAGGTCTCTCCGGACACATTCTGTGAGATTTGGATAAAAGATGCAGAGTATGTCAACAACCAGTGTGTGGCGTTGGCTGCCTATGTGGCTTCTTGTCACAAATTTAATATCTGCATTGAGTGGAGGAGACCAGATTATTGCCGTGAGTTTCTGACTCTGTCAGTCGGTGCAACTGAACAAACAACACAGTAAACAATTAAAAAAGCTGTAATTAAAATATTGGAAAATACAAAAAAAAAAACAAAAAATAAAAAACTGGAACTGAGCAGCTAGACCAGAACATCAAAGATTCCCCAGACTTAAACCCTAGGGAGACTCTGTAATAGTTCAGAGCTGTATTTTAACCATTGGTCCACAAAGTGGCTGCCTTGAGAAACCTAATAATGATTGTTTGCAAGTACATTATCTGCCTTCATTCTATTTTGACATTTCTGTGTACGTTAACATGTTCGTATTACATGTTCAATCTTGGACATTTTTTTGTACTCACTCAGTCAACATAATTTACAAATCCATATTCATCTAACTGTGAGTCTTAAACATGTTGCTGTGTCCGTCCTGTAGCCTTTGTGTGTCCTGATGCTCTGAGGTATCAGGCCTGTCTGCCAGCCTGCACCTCCCAGTCCTGCACCAACCACGACTTTGATTCTGACCCAGAAAAGTGTTCAGGCCTGACAGAGGGCTGTGTGTGTCCAGAGGGAACGCTCCTCCACCGGCCGTACTCTGCCCTCTGCATCTCACCTGAGAAGTGCGGTAAGTATGGAACCCCCAAAAAACAATATTTGTTTTTATCTTACTCTATAACCTCTTTTTCATCATATTTATTTGCAGCCTGCACTGACGGCTCTGGCATTCCTCATGCAAATGGTGAGGTGTGGAAAGCCTCCAAGGATGCCTGCTGCATGTACCGCTGTGAGAACGACACCATCATTCCATTAGAGTACAACTGCTCCAGTGTGGCAGCACCTGTGTGCCATCGAGCAGGACAGACGGTCATCAGCCTGGCGGACGACAGCAGCTGCTGCCCACAGAAAATCTGCGGTGAGGTTTCCTGAGCAGTTTGAAGTCAGAAGAAGAAATACCAGATCTGAACAGTAATGTTAATGAGACATTATTTGTGTTGACAGTGTGTAACCAGAGCCTGTGTGACCCGTCTCCTCCTGTGTGTAAATATGGAGAGAAGCTGGTGTCGTACTACAGACAGGACTCATGTTGTCCATACTTTGTGTGTGGTGAGGTTTACGTCACACTCTAATTCACTCCCAGATTATCACATCTAAATATTATTCATAGCTCAAGGCTTCGCTGAATTTGTTCTGAAGTCTGTGATGGAAGATTAAACAGACTTGGATTTGAACTGTGACTTGAGAAGTATGATTAGCAGGTGGGAGGAAAAAGAATTTTCCCAAAATTCTGAATTCTGGGTTTCTGTTTGTTACAGAGTGTGACTCTGAGCTCTGTGAGTCAGCTGTTCCCACCTGCAGAGAAGACCAGACTTTAATCAGCACCAGAGCAGACAACAGCTGCTGTTTGGCCCACATCTGCAGTATGCTCACACACATGCATGCACACACACAAACACAAATAAAGTAACAAAATAGTAAATGTGTTTTTTTTCTTTTTCTGTAGTGTGTGCCTCCTCGTGTCCACAAACTCCTCCACTCTGCCAAGAGGGAGAGGTGCTGACAATCGACCGGAACTCCACTGACCGCTGCTGCCCCATCTACCAGTGTGGTCAGAGCAAACACACACACAAACATTCACATAAAACAGCATTTTTTTCTATGCCACTTCAACTGTATTGTAGGTATAAATATTACAGACTGTGATTGTGGAATGAGCCACAAACCCTCTCCAACCTCACTGGCTCCTGTGATTTTTTTTTCTCCATTTTTGCCTTATAATAAAAGGTTGATATTCACAGTGCATGTGTGTCTCGTGTACATGTGCAGTTTGTGAGCGCTACAGATGTTCTCAGCCCAGCTGTCCTGTTGGGATGTCGGTGGCGTCGGTGGCTGTTCCTGGACGCTGCTGCCCCAACCAAACCTGTGGTAAGTCTCAGGTTTATCACAGTTCCTGATGGTCTGATAAAGACTAATGATGTAAAGTGATTATTATTATGTACATTTTCTTTTCAGAGTGTTCCTGTGAAAAGATAGCCTCTCCAAAGTGTGGCCTGGTAAGTCCTGACTAAAATTAAGATTGTGTAAAACAATCGTTGACCTTGGACAGTGTTTCAATTCACAAGATCTTCACATTTTCAGAGTAAAACAAAATGAATTTAGACTGTTATGACCAGAGCTGTGTTTCTGCCTATACTGTGCAGGGAGAAGCTGCTCAGCTGGACCGTCACTTCACTTTGGACCCACAGAACCAGTGTTCCTGCAAAAGATACAAGTGTGGTGAGTTTTTCTGTGTTTATGTTTTTAAATCAATACAAGCGACAAAATATTGCAGTCGCTGTAGTCTGCACATACGACACACGCTATGACTCTACCCCGACGTCCTGCTCCGGATGTGTGTTTTCAGTACCAGAGGCGGTGTGTGTGTTTGGTGAGCGGGGAGTCCTGAGGCCCGGTCAGACTCTGGTGGAGCATGGAGACGATGGTTTGTGTCACAGCCGGCAGTGTAGCCGCAGCCTGGACCCAGCCAGTGGCTTCCATCTGCTCCGCACCTCCAGCATGAACTGCTCCACCCACTGCCTGCCTGTAAAAGCAACACAAACACACTTCTGCACACAAAAAAGCTAATTCACTCTGTATCTTTCTTGTTTTTGTTCCCTTTTTCAAATTATTTTATTTTGTCACTTCCCAGACATTGATTTAAATGGTTTATTGTTGTTTCCAGAATCAGATTTACATCCCACCCAGGGATCAGTCCACATGTTGTGGTGTTTGTAAGAATATTTCCTGCATCTATGAACATGAGAATGGGACTGCGGCTCTATATAAGGTAAGATACTTTTGGAAGTATGAGAATATTTTGTATTTTAGTAATGAGGAGTTTTATAAGGTGAAGACACTGAGCAGGAAAATGTTTACAGTCATTTTTTTTCTACTCATTAACAGAAGACTGAATGAATGCCTGATACCAATACATACAACTCTGTTGGTGCATATTTACATTCACTTGCTGAGACTTCCTGTAAATGTTATTGTTGAAGTATACGTGCACTGTCCCGGTGTTATTTGGCAGATGTTAAACTTTTGTTGATGTTGTTGTTGCCTGTTGTTTCAGCCTGGAAGGTCCTGGGTTTCAAATTGCATGAAGTTCGATTGCGCGGACACTCTGTCTGGAGCCACTCTCATCTCCTACCCGTTCAGCTGCCCTCCCTTCAATGAGACAGAGTGCATGAAGGTCAGCCTCTGGCAAAGCTAAGGGTCACTAAGTATGCACCAAGTTAACAACTGTGTTCGTGAAAACGCTAATGTCTCGTCTGCTTCCAGATTGGTGGCAGTGTTGTAAGTTACATGGACGGATGCTGCAAAACATGTGAGTACCTGCTGTGACTGTGGCAGTAGTCAAGTAGTGTAGAGCTGTAGGCTGCAGTTGAGTCTGACCCAGCACCTTCACCTGCTGCACAACATGTTTCCAACATGTTTTTGCCCTTCAGTTTGTCCTGTAACTCCAAATCTACTTGATCATCCAACATTATTACACATTCTACACACATATTCAACTATTTATCCAGGCCAGAGACAAGTTTGTTTGTGAAATCCCTGTTTTTTTAAAAAAGTGACATCTCTCACTGAAGGGCATGTAATGAAATTCTAGTAGATTTGTGGTTTGTGTGCTGCAGCTTACCTTCATATACCAATCCCACCAGGTACTGGATTCCCTCTGTTCCCCTTCCCCGTTAGCTCCTTGACTCCCACAGTTAACACAAACTGTGAACGAGGTACCAAAAACAACAAGGCTTGTCAGTGCCATTGTTGAAATTCAACAATGTACTCCCTCATTATGACAAAAAGTTGCTAAATATCCAATGGAAACTGAAAGCCCCAATGATTTAAAGAGTCCTCTCAAGTGCTGTGTCGTTAAAAGGTCAGACTCCAAGCTAGAATGATTCAGAATCAATTTAAAGAAAATATTTAATTTGTTTCCTGCATGTTTTCTTTAAATCCTGTCATCAAACTTCAGTTAGATGTTGTTTAAACCTGACCAAGAATGATGTCACACTTGAGAGAACAGGAACAGAAACATTCCCTCCGTCCTCCCGAGGATCACGTACACGTTTACATACAGTGCAGTGAAACTCTTTACCCATTAGCACTGTCTGGGCAGTGCATTGTTGATTGCCAACAATGTACTGTTGGTAGTGGCCCAGTAGCTGGGCTTAGAAGTCTGCATGTGTCAGTAGATCACTGATGTGAGCTGGTGTGGCAGGGGGTTTGAGGAGGGTTTGGGGGTTTCTTCACCTCACGTGTGTCTGCTGTAGAAGATGTGCATGTGACGCAGACTGTGCTGTAGGAAAAGTAAAGCTACTATATGAGGCATTTGAATGACAACATGACAAAATAATACCTGATTCTAAATTAAAGAAAACAAATATGCAAGGTACAATGAGACCAAGGATAGAAGAAGAAAATTGAATTAGAAAGAAATTGAATTAAAAACATTTTAGAATAAAGTTGGAAAAAGCAGACTTTGGATGACAGGATGTTTGCCACACATAGCAGCTTTATATTTTGATGTAATGCTGAGTAGTCCAATTGTTGTAGATACAGTACGTGTTTGTGTGTGTGTGTGAGTATAAATCACATCCTGTTCCTGTGAAATTCCCTTGTAGCTGCACTATTGAAATGACGTGTTTATTGGAATCTTCTATTTATTAGAAAATAGAAGATATATTTCTGTATATGGTTTGGGGACTTTTCAAAGCAGAAAAATGATGACATCTTGCTTATATGATGCTAAAGCAAGACAATTTAAAATAATTAATTTAATTACTTTTAAATATTTTTTTAAAATGAAATGCAACAGTTGATACAAACCAGGTTATTTACTGCGCCTTAGTCAGTTCAGACTTGAGGTGGAATAATGATTTTATGATACAATGTCATCGATGGGGCAGTGGTGGCCTGGTGGGTCCAGAAGGCCTCAGGTTCAAGTCCACCAGCTGCCCAGTCACCATTGAGGTGCTCTGAGCATGGCACCGTCCCCACACACTGCTCCCTGGGCTGATTAAAGCTGCCCACTGTTCACTTTGGTGATGGGTTAAAAGCAGAGGTCAGTGTTTTTTCAGTATGGCAGCTGCGCTGACGCTCAAAGATCTGTCCTCTGTCTGTGGGACTTTACTGTATGAGGCATGTTGACTCAAGTCTGAACAGTTTTTTATGTTTGAACACTGTGTGTAACCATGTTTTAATCTCATTATTAAGTTGTATTTTTTTTCTACTTTAAATTTTGTCTTCTACCATCTGACTCATTTCCATCCACTACAAGTTTGCATGATCACATTTACAGGCTAACACACACACACACACACACAGACACACACACACACACCTCTCGGTTTTTTTCTCTCCATTTTTGCTGTATCTCCTTTTTGGACAGACTGTTGTTACGTGTATGTTTTGTATAGTCTTTAATTATTTGACACACTTGTCACGTGAACAGGTAAAGAAGATGGAAAGTCATGTCAGAAAGTGACAGTGAGGATGACGATCAGGAAGAACGACTGCCGCAGCAACAGACCTGTGAGTCAACGCAGTTTTGTTTACATCTACAGCTCTGCATATTTCACAGATTCTTTCCCCATTTGTTTTAATCTTTTCGTCACATGCAGGTGAACATCGTGTCATGCGATGGGAAGTGTCCGTCTGCCAGCATCTACAACTACAACATCAACACGTACGCTCGCTTCTGCAAGTGCTGCAGGGAGACGGGGCTGCAGCGACGCTCCGTGCAGCTCTACTGCTCCAGCAACTCCACCTGGGTCAGCTACAGCATCCAGGAGCCCACAGACTGCTCCTGTCAGTGGTCCTGAACACAAGCACTGACACTGACACACTGCCTTAGTTCCTCTGCTGGCAGGGAGGTGGTACTGCAGTCTGCTCTGTCAACATGATTGAGCATTAATTAAATTAAAATCTTTAATTTTTAACAATAGTGTGTAATTTTTAGATTAGATTTTACTTTCAGTAATTATTATAACGACATCCATTGATCTTTTCCTTTTTTTGCCATCATTAGTTGTAGTAAAATCACCACAGAGGAAAAGTAGGAAATGTAGTACATTTACTTTCAACCATTTGTTTATTGTGATTGAAACATATTTACACTATGGAAGATATCTATTAGTGAATTACAAGAAATATTTTTTTAATTGTCACTGCTAAGATGAAATGTTTATTAATATGTGACAGTGCAGCGGATAATTAATGACAATCTGACTATCTATGTTAATCTTTCAGATTACTCACCTGATCATGAAAGTCAAATAAGAGAAGCTGTGGTTAAGATGACAAAAGGAATCGTGACATTTAAAGTGAACTGTTATTGATCCCAGTCTTGTGTTAACAGCTGACGTGCTACAACAGGCTGCCTCTTGGAGGCCTCAGGTATGTGGTTTCTCTGGGAATCAAGCTCTGTGCTAACCACTACACTAGTGGAACCACTATTCCAACCATTGTTGCCAGTTCTGCAGCGCCACCTGCCTGTCAGCTTCCAGAAAAACTCCCAAGCCTTTTGTTAGTTCAGACTTATTTTGACTATTGTATAACAAAGACTTTTGTCCTGCAGTGATATGTTTGTGCACTTCCGGTCTTTTGTGATTTGAGATTTTTTTTTTCTCCTGAACTATTTTTGGTTTTTGTAAATATTTTTGCTTTAACATCTAATGCTGTAACAGACATATATATATCAAATTTTAGATACAACTAATATAAAAATAAACTGTTTATCTGCTGATTTAACAAGTTATTTAAGTAACCAGTGTTAGTGAGTTGAAATCATTGTTTTACACCAGGTAGTTAGTGGAGCACTTTATTTATTGGAGGTTGATAGAACACAGACGTTCAGATGATGTGATGGAAAAAGAAATAAGGTTGATCCAAATGCAGACAGTTTTAATAGAGAGGTACGGTTGATTTTTAAGAGATGCATGTTTCTCTGTGTGAGGATTTGTATCATAACACGTGTACATTTCTGCATTTTCAATAAAGATTTTCTCTTGGAAAAAAACCCGTGTTAATCAACAAATATATATATATGTATAATAAACATATGTCAACTAATAACCACCCACTTCCCCTCACAGGTGGTCAGAGTGGAGAAGTGCTGTTCCATCCTGTACTGTATGATGGTAGATTAACGCAACCTTCTTCGTCTGTTTCCTTCATTAAACGTATCTCGTTTTTTACACCAGCCCTCAAACACGGGGAAGTTTTTATTCTGACTTTAACTCTGAGACGGAGCAGACGTGAGAATACAACTTTTGGGACTGTTCAGACCACTAACCTTTTCCTCTTTAATTTCAGAGCCTCAGTGTCCAGTATCAATCAAATACTAAACCAGATGTGTGAAGACAGACAGTCAGAGGAAGTGAGGTCCGTTAATCTGCACGACCAACACACTGGCTGGTTTCTCTACGTGGTCGATTCCTCGCTGCAGCGAGTTGGCACAAGAAAACGGAAAATGATACGGTGCTGTGAACCCACAAAATCCATGGAGCAGCACTTTATAGCCGACAGGAGGCCAGTCACCCAGTTTGGTATGTACACTGAGACTGAGACACAACTGAGTTAAGGCCTGCTGTGCTTCCATTAATACACACTAATTCTACAGAGTTTTTATTGTTGTCAGACAAAAACATTTCCAAACAGATTCAGATCCAAAAAAATCTTTTGAACCCCCCCCCCCTTAAAAACTAGAAAGTGTTAACTGACACATCTATGCAACATTGATGTTTTTTTTTTGTTATCATTATTTGATCAGGTTTTTTAACCTCATTTTTTTTTTTTTTTCTCTCATTCTGAAACTGGAAGGACATTTGAAAGGAATTTGATGTAATTTCCTGTACATTCAGTTACTAAATGTTTTTTTCCTGAATGAAAAAAACATTTTAAGAAAACTTACATTTTTACATTTACATTTTTTATGCATTTAGCAGAGGCTTTTATCCAAAGTGACTTAAAGAGGAAGATTAACATGAATTGACCATCAACAACAGGCATATTTACTTTGTGCAAATGAATCACTGTGAACAAATTACTGCTTACAAACAGTATTCATTTCACATGGTTGCTATGATGCAATGTGAATATCCCCGGCACCACTGGCCAAAACACGATACCAAGCTGGCATTGACTGTTGCCCAGGACAGTTACCCCTGCTCCTGTGTCCATTTAGTGTCAGTGTGTAGAAAAAGTAGAGTGAATTCAAGCTGCTCACGTAGCTGTAGTTCACCGTCTCCTGTTGCTGCCTGAATTTTAACATGAAGTCATGCTCTTTTTTTATTCTCTCCTCACCAGACATGAACGTGTTACAGAGTAGTCCTCAGGTCTTTGACTGCTCTGAACAACTGTGTGACGTGTCTTTTTAATCAGGTGTTGACTTTTTAAATATATATTAGTCCAACACATACACCCAGGATTTATAGATTAATCTAAATATTTTATGTGCTTA